GGTGTCAATACCCTCTTCTCTAAAGTGGAGACAATCCTGCAACCCACCATTTGAAAAGTAAGGATGTGGAGCTCTTAGAATAGTGTCTAGCACTCAGGAGGAGCTCACCTATTAGCTATCATTACCAATTTTGAAAAAATAGACAAATTACAGAAACTTTAAGTATGAATTTGTAGTTGTAAATAAGTAATGGAGTTACATCACACATTTACGTCATCCTATCAAAACGTGGCGTGTTTCCATGCACCCTCTGCCCCCGACTCTGTGGTGCTTCTTATGCAGAAAACTTGCAAAGCAGTGTCGACTAATATGATTAACGGGACTGGCTAGTGCTCATGAGACTGGTCCGCTCTTCAGGGATCGGGCAACATTGAAATACCTCGTGACTGGTTTGAGCGGCAGCTCTGCTGTCTTCCTTGGGGGCTCTGGGGCCCGGGAGGGAGGCTGCCACACACTGCAGGCCGTCACGCTTCCTTTCCTCTTCCTCCTCTTCAATGTGCAGGCTTGGTGTCACCTCTAGGTCACCGAGGCCCCACCACAAGGCATCTGGTTCTTGAGATTCTGGCCCTCTTCGGGTGCCTGACATAAGCCCCTCACAGCTTTCCTCGTCTTCCTCTCCAATGACAGGGAGGGTTTGGAGCAAGGGACCCACGTCAGTGTGGGTGGAGGCCACACACTTCTCACCTGGGGCTTCAGGCGCCTTTTCAGGGCCTGCAAAGCCTTTTCTCATTTTTGCCAACTCCGCACACTTGTTCTGAGTCGTCTTCCTGGGGCCTTGGAGTGGCGTTGCCTCATAGGGTTGTGCTGTCGTTGAGGTCACACCTGAGCCAGGAAAAGGTGGCCGAGAGGAGGGTGGGCTGGCAGGGGCAGATGCCGGAGGCGGTGGCAGGGGAGCTGAGGGTTCCTCTCTGATTTCAAGGAGGGTCTCCTCTAGGATACTTGGTTTGGCTTGGTCAGCTGCTAAGGTTAAAGCACCAAGCTTCTCTAATTCCTCCAAGAAGTCGTCCAGAAAAGGAGGCGGTGACGGGGTCAGAGGGCGTGCTGGTGGACTGGTGGCTGTCAGGGACGGCCACCCCTGGGCCACGCCCCGGAGAGCTCCGTCCTCCGGGCCGGGCAGAGCTCTGGGCGTGAGAGGAGGGCCTGGTTCACCGGAAGCCGACTTAGAAAAGCAGAGATTATGAAGAAATAAAAAGAAATAAGCCAAGAAAATAATCATAATGCATCAAAACACAGACAGAGAAATGCAGGAAAGGGATGGTAGTGAATACAAAAATTATTTTAGGCGATGGAGTCGGTTTGAAGGAATTTTTCTGAACTTAAATACATAAGATCATTAGCATGTCAATTAGAAAGTTATCTGGAGAATGAAATGCTCCTGTGTTTGGAAGGGGTCAAAGGACAGAATGACGCTGTTATGGAGGTTACAGGGACGGAAGGCGAAACCTTAAGATTTAATGTAACGGACCACCTCTTTTAAACTGGGTTCCCAGACATCGACTCAGCAGCAGAAGGACTTGAAAATAATATTAATGTGGAATGAAAACCGATCGTGAAGCCTCTTTTCAGTCCCTGAGTATGTTTAGCATTCTTGCTTCTTGCAGCAGCGCTAAGAGCTCAACGTTTCCCATGAACCTGGGGAGGCCCAGTTTATGAAGCCTCCTCTTCTGAAGTGAAAATACTCTTCCGTGGATCTTAATATTATGGCTCTATTCTGGGTATGCTGAACAAAACAGAACTGTCATGTAAATTCATTCGAAGTTCTGCATGTATTGTTTCTGGACTGGAATGAATGGTACATGCCATACACACGGAGGCCGAGAGAGAGCCTGGTGGGGGACATTTTACTTTAGTTCTTTCCAGGAGGATGATTTGGGTTTGGAAAGAACAAATTTTCAGGAGAGGTTTTGGAGACACTTTTTAGCTGGGAGTCCGGGAGGAGGCCTCACGCACGCACTCAGTGTTCCGGGGCCTTAGCACAGGTCAGCCTGCAGTGGCTCCCGCCCCTTAACCTTGGACGTCTGTGTCCTGTCATGGGAATGTGTCCTTCAGCAAGGGAAGGTGTCACGCCACCACGTGGGGGGATGAATAAGGCAAAGTGTCCCAAGGCCCATGTGAGCATCTTACAGGAGACTCAGGACGCACGTCTGCTCGGCCCCGGAAATAAAGCGATACTGCGCATGTGGTCTATTACTGGACGGGGGACACCCCCAGCAAGTCCTGTGTATATTTCATTTTTAATGAGGTACAAATGGCCGAAGTCTTGGTAGTCTAGTAAGTTCTCTTATTGGCCAGAGCCCTGTTTTATGTTCTATACTATGAGCACGACAATAGATTCTGAAAGCCTGTGAGATGTATAATGATTCAAGACTGTCACTTTTCATGTTCACGTTTCTCACGGGCAGGGATATCATGTCGATGAGAAGGAATGATCTTTCAAGTCCATTGTCATCATTACTCCCCCTGCCACTATTACTACCCCGGCGTCGTCACCACCATGGTCACTAACATACAGGGCCCGGCAGAAGTGATGCTGCTGAGTGTGGTTGGTAGGGTGTGTGAATGTCTCTCACGAGACGGACAGCAATTTCAACATTTCACCTAAAATGTCATATGATGTGCTTGAGTGTGATACTGTTATGTTACAGAATTACATGCTTATGATTTTATAATAAAAGAGTTTTATGTAATAAACTAGGGGTGTTGTTTGTGCCGGACCCTGTGTGTTAACAGGTTCAAAGCGCTTAGCTTTACGTGATAGGCTTGTCTCTACTGGAAGTCAAATGAAGGGCCCTGGGTTATCCATGTCACGAAAATACACCTACGATACAAGAACCATATGATTATCTTCCAGAAACATTAGAATTGGATTCTAAAGTGGGACTATCAGAAACAGTATCAACTTGCATTTGAGCCGCCCGTACAATACGAGATGCCATGAAGTGTGATTCGAGTGTGTCAGAGAGTGATTCTGAAATCACCCACTACATTCCTTCCCTTACTTGCAAATGTCAGTTAGAAAACAGGATGTGTAATGTGTTTTGGATGTCGTATTTAAAAGCACTTTATCTATCATTCTTTTTCTGAAAACGAGGCACTGAGCATCACTGAGAAGTTTCCTCCATGGGGCTGGTCACGTCACAGCATAGATTTAGGTGGAATAAGGCCATGAAGTATTTTTTCAAATTATAGGTGTAAGCTTTTTGACATATTTTCCCCCAGCAGTGAGAATAAAACACTAATTAGTTATGAGTGAAATTTGTGCATTTCTCTATTTACAAAATATAAAATCTGGCATGCTAAGAAGAAAAACTTAGAAAACTGAAAATCCAATGAAATTATGTGGTGATAATCATCACGAAAGATTATGTGGTGATATTCACAACAAAGATGAAAACATTGTGATGTAAAATATTGCATTTCCAATATTAATTAGGACATTATGGGTGAATTTCTTAAATGTTAAAAGAAGCCTTTGTAGACACATGCTTATTCTTTCTTATAAAATTTGATTTGAAGGTGCGGTTGCTTTGAAATTTGTCTGGTAGTTCATTTAAGATGACTAAGTAGTGGATAAGCCAAAAATAGAGATAAAGTTTCTTATCTTTTCATTTATCAGTTGGAACCACTAAATGAAGAATGTTGATCTTGAAATGCTAAGCTCCAGTAGTGAAGTAAATATACTCAAGAAGGTTCTGGAAAACCTTATAACCAATCAAACAAAACTGGATCGTGGTGGTCCCATCACCCAGTGATAATGGAGTGAGAGTGATCTCCCTGCAGCTGAAACCCAGTCTTCAAAGACAAGCAGAATAAATAGAACGCCGAGCCTCAGTCCTTTAAAAAAAATTCTCCTCTTAAAATAGGAGATTCTTCGATCCTTTACTTTTGTAAGATCCTTCAAAGACTCATTTTCAAGGAGCAGCGTAGGTTGCTGCGGATGCCACCTTGAAACAACCTTGTATCGGAACATGAAATGATGGTGCACTTCAATGACATCTGAATGTTGATATTATTTTGCTCACTCTAGATGGTTTATTTTCTCATGTCCTAGCCTTGATCATAATTACTTATTAAAATAATAAATATGCCACTTCATACATTTTTTAAACCTGTTGGAAAATACTTATAATATTTTGGAACTAAGTCCTTTGCTAACTTAGAGTTTTATACTCGGAGATTAATGACAAGGGGAGAGAGTCCCTGAGTACCATCCATAAGAAGAATATGCTATATTATAACTTAACAGAAAATTAAGAAAAAAGTTCACATTATCAATAAAGAAAGAACAGACTACCCTTTTCTAATTAACCAGTTCCTTTTTTAGACTAGCTATCAAGATAGAGAATTGCCTTTAGCCCCTAGATAGTACAACTGGCACGAGATTAAAGCTAATATAATACACACCAGCTCTTCTAATGACCAATGCCATTTCTGCTAAAACTCATAAATGAATTGACTTACAAATCTTAATTTTAAACTTTATTTCTCTTTCTTTATTAAAAAACCCTAAGACTTTTATATAATTTTTTTCAACCTAATTCCATGTATTGTTGAAATAAACCATTTTGGGATCTTTTGATTCATCTATTGATGCATATGTATATATACAGACACACATATATAATCTATATAAGATTGCATATGTAAATTAAAATTAGGCTTTAGAAATAATCAAGTTAAAAAAGTGGAGTTTTCAGAAAGTATATATATTCATTCAACGTGTATATCATATAGGGTCTTACAATACTAATGTTTTTTTCTTTCAGTATTTTAGCTCGAAAATGAAATCCTCAAAATTAAGCATTAAACCTTTACGCCAGCACCCATAAAAAAAATTAAATTACATTGTCTTGATCTGTCAGTCACACTTAGAAGCATAACAGGTAAATCTTTTGCTTTGCAATAAAGACGGTGTGGTAAGCTAATGCCTTCAAATCCCCTGTTGAATGTCTTACTCCAAGCTCTCAAACATTACACTCTTGTGCTAAATGTCTTCTTACCTTGTTTGAACTCAGGCTGTGGATTCTATCGCTGGAGTAGCTGTGGGGGATGGGAGGGTCGGGGTAATCCTCGGCACCTTTGCCGGTGTTCCTCTTGACGACTTCTACATAGGAAACAGGGAAGATGCCTTGTCTGTTGGTTCCTGGAATTTTACCTTCATACCAGTTTTGATCAACTCTTTTGAGAAGAATAACTCTATCTCCCTGGAATGAATATTAGGAAAAGACATTATAAATAGAGGTGTGATAACATGAAAAATACAATTGTCAATGTTTTCTAACAAACTATAGTTTTCCGTTGGGGAAAGCTTACACCTCCAGTTTTATTTAGTCAGAAGAACACAACCAAAGTCTCAGAGTCCCTTCCCACATCTCAGCTTATCAGCTTAGTCATCCACTCACCACGTCCTTCCCTAAGGCTGCCTGGAGGGTGCAAATGCGCTTGTGCTTGTGTGTGCTGGGCCCTCGTGAAACGACTGTGTGAGTTACGTTGCAAAGGAGAAGGGTTTCATAGAATGTGTCGGAGACACTAGCACCATCCTATCCCTGACGGTTCCAGAGAGTGACCCTCCGTCGGGAGGGCCTCAGAAAAGAGTGACTCAGCTCTCTGTGGTGTTGTGTCTGGACTGGGTTGCAAAAGCCCACCTCCAGGAGGGGCGAAGTTGTTGAATGGTGCACTGTTTTTCTTACTTAACCTGGACGTGCTAACTGGTAGCAAAGAGTGAAGCTAGTGGACTGGGGCAGCGGTGGACTCGAGGTGCTCTGACCGAGGCCAGCGCTGACACCTGCCCGCTCTGCGTCAGGACAGCGGGACACCAGCATCCATTCCGAGTGTTAGGTGGTGGTGCCACGGTGGCCATTGACCATGTTTGTAGACTTCCTGGCGTGTGGGATGCTAGACTTCTCCACAGTCACTGTTCTCCCTGCCTGCAGGGATCACGCCAAGCCACGGAGCACAGTCTACATTTTAACTCGAAACCACGTGTGGCCCAGAAATAGACAGTAAAACTCCGCTGCCGCGTCCAGCAGATAATGCAGATGTTGGGGCAGCTGCGCCTGATGGGACGATACAGGTGACAGAAGGTCAGCACTTCAGCAGAGCGGGGAGGCCTTTGTCAGGTGGTGCTCAAGTTGAAAATTCCCTTTTGGCAAAATGCTGGATGGCTTATACAGATGGTACCACCACCACTGAGCAGAATGTACCATAGCAAAGTGAATCTCCCTGTATCTTAAAATGCCACCGAGTTTCTCTGTAATACCAAGACGAGGCTGTTGCTAGGCTTTTGTTGAGCTACACATTGCTCTGGCAGAGGCCTCTCTTTCGAGTGTGAAACATAAGCCGATGCAGTTCACGGACTGCTGTGCTGCGGGGTGGAAGGTGGAAGCAAGTCAGCTGATGATGTCCAACCAGGACCCCTGGGGGGGAGGGTCTAGAGCCAGGACAAGAATGCGCTGGGTCCCTTCACTGCTCCTGGCCAAGCATTCCCCGGCGGGTGGGAGGGGTTCTGGGGCCTCCCTGCCCGTTTATTGCTGTCTAGTCTGGGTCAGGCACACGCGCAGTCACGCGTGTGACCGCTTAGCAGACAATGGGAGTGGTCCGTGGGGTCATTCCCATCTGCGTGGAGTGGCAAGTGACCCAGAGCTCCTCTCCTCATTGTGAACAAGAGGAGCCAGAACAGGGTTAGAACCGGATGGGTCGCTAGTGAAATCGGGGTCGGTCATGAGGCCTCCAGGAGGAAGTATCTTCATGACTTTAGAACTTTCCTTGATTCCAACATAAAAGTATTATTAATTTAAAAAAATTTAAAAATCGAATAAGAAGGCAGTAGAACAGCAATATTTTGAAGTATACTGAAGTGCGTTTCCTTTCCGCCACAAGTGTAACTCCCTGATATTCAGGCCGAGGTCCCCCTTGGAGAGGCCTGGGGGTCTCCGGGCTGCACCAGGAGGGACAGTTTCTCGGAGAAGCTTTAAGTCCCACAGGGAACTGATTTGGATGAAGGGAGAGAGACTCAGGGAGGCCTTCGTCCTTTGTTTAGGGGAAAACACGCAAAAGGTGACAATGTAGTTTTGCAAAACACACCACCTTCCTTTCGATACCCCCACAAGGAAAGCAGCCAGGTTACCTTTCGCAGCGAGAGCTCCACATTCGTGTCGGCGTTGAAATTATATTTGGCGATAGCCTCTCCGATTTCTCCAGGCTGGGCTGGGGGAGGCGGTCTCGCGGGCTGGGCTTTCTCAGGAGGTGTGAGTTTCTAGGAGGAAGAGAGTTCTTTATTCCCGACCCGGCGGGGCTTCGGGACTAGCAAGCACAGGGACAGGAAGGGGAAAGACTCACCTCTACGTATGAGATTGGGAAAATGCCCACTCTCCCGTGGTGCTCCCCCTCATACCAATTCTGATCAATCTTCCTGAGGATGTAGACAGTATCTCCCTTCTTAAATGACAGCTCCCTGGAAGACACGTGGGCAGATGGGTTTTGCTTGACGTAGACCAACTGTTCTTACGATCACTAGACCTGCATTTGGCTGAGAGATATACCCTTCCTATGTTAAAAAAGAAATCTGTCGAGCCCAGTCGGAGAAGGATTTTCCTTACAAATATTTCAAATTCACTTACAGCATTAAAACTGTAGAAATGATTTCAGAAAGAACAGGGATAAGCATCGTGTCTGCTAGAAATCACAGGAAGATCAATACAAAGTTTAAAGGTGGAGACACGCTGTTGTTATCTAGTCATTAGTTTATAGCTAAGAAGCTGTAAAGCTTGGCATAAGAATGGATTCATTTTGCATTGATGTTTTTTCTCCTGAAGCTACTGCGCTTGTGAGCTAGCTAGTTGCTTCTCTCTCTCTGTCTTCCTTTTCACACACTAAAGCTTATAATAAAAAAATAAATATCTTTTACCTTAGCACAGAAATACCAACACCAGAAGAAATTTTATTCCTGGATTTTTAAAGTGGATTGGCAGGCATGTAAGTAGGCTACCTTGATGAGGAATTTATTTTGTGAAACAGAAAAGGTCTTGTACTCTTATTTTTCAATGGGGCACAAAGATAAACTTTAAGCACAAAGACATGCACCGATTGCTTGATGCCTTCCTAACTTATTTTTAAAGAATAAAAATATTTTCAAGACACTATGCTCTTCCATCTGGGTTCTTTCTGAGAAGACATTAGGTATGTTGGGTATTTAGTTTCAAGTTATGAAGACGTTACTCATTTCAAGCAGCCCCCGACTAAATCCCCTGATCGGTTCTTTGCGGCTTCATCATGCGGGTGATGGCGTCTGTGTGGTATTTTGCCTCCATGGTTGTGTATCTTGACTCCACAGTTGTGTTGGGTCCCTTGTTTTACGAATTTTCCTAAGATCCCCACTTCCCTACATGTCTGCCTTCCCAGTCCAAATCCTCTGCTTTGTTTAGTTCAGAGTCTTGAGCTGGATCATTTTTGTGTGTGAAATATTTAATGGAGAGAGGTATATATCACATGTGAAATATTTCTTATTGATTAAAAAATTTAGTTGAGCCCTGGCTGGTGTGGCTCAGTGGATTGAGTGCTGGCCTACGAACCAAAGGTTGGCGGTTCGATTCCCAGTCAGGGCACATGCCTGGGTTGTGGGCCAGGTTCCCCAGTGCAGGGCACACAAGAGGCAACCACCCATGGATGTTTCTCTCCCTGTCTTTCTTGCTCCCTTACCCTCTGTCTAAAAATAAATAAACGAGAGCTTTAAAATAAGATTTAGTTGAAATAACCATTGCATATTAAAAGAATTATTACACATTTGGAAGTGCTAGAGTCTTCAGGTTGAAAGGGTGTTAAATTTTCGGTAACCCTGTAGACAGAGAGATTCACAGACCCTCACATCCTCACACTCCACCTCCCTTTCTCATGTGTGTGCCTGATGTAGAAAACACAAAACCGAACAGAACATTTCACGTTTACAGTCCAGTGGTTTTCTTTGTGCCAGGCATGTGCCGTTTCTTCGAGCGAGGGCAGGAGGCTTGGCTTTTAAAAAGAAAACAAACTTGGAAGTTAGAGACAACTGATTACTTTTCTTCTGATTATGCAAAGAAATCTTTCCTATCAGTGAAGGCCTCGTATTTAAAATTTTGCAGTCACCCAGATGAAGGACAGTAGTCTCACTTAACAGTTCTCAGAGTGGTGGCCCCCCCACTTCGGGGCCAGAGTGTCTAAGTCCCACTGCGGTTAGTTCTACCCCCACCCCTGCCATTTTGAACCGTGGCCATTGAAAACACCGGCTCCCATTCACGCTCACTCCTGGGCTTAGTCCTAACTTTCCTCAACCACGTGCCCATCGGATGAGCAAGGTCCTGAAGGAAAAAGGTAAAAAAAAACTTACGACACAGGACTATAAAAACACCAACATGAAAAGACCACAGGAGAGAACTGTGCTCAGAATCTCTAAGCGTGGAGTGCTGAGATGTGGAGAATTTACCACCGGCATCTGTGCACACAGTTCTAGTTTTCAGTCCCACAAACTCTCCTTGGTGTAGCTGGATAAATAAATGTTGTCGCATGCTCTCAGGAAGTGTTAATTACTCCCCAGCTCTTTATTTTTAATTCCTCTTGACATGAAAATTCCAGAAACAAAGAACCTTAATTTCTCTTTTGTTTAACCCATCCTTTGGAATTCATTGTGCTGTAATATGTTTAGTGTAATTTAAATCTCGACAATTCTCAACTAAACGCAAAATGAAAATAAAATTACCCACATCCCAATTAATTCAGAGGGAACCATTTAATTAGAGTGGATTGCTGAATTATTTGTAGCACACCACGCTGCAATATTTTCCCCTTAAAGTATTACTAAAATATTTAAAGCCAACTTAAATCATATGGTGAATACTTCTCTTACTTACTTAGATGTCTGAGCCTTAAAATCATAAACAGCTTTTGCAGGCAGATTCTAAAAAGGAAAGCAAATGATTAGCGCTAACTTAAAAGTTGGGTTTCCTACAAGAAAGCAGTTTCGTGTGAATTGAACAGAAGTGAAACCTCAGGGAATGATGAAAAATATAATGTAAATTCTATGTGCAAGCTATGAATAAATCAGTTCTTCCTATAGGTATTTAAGCTACAGCAGGACTGTAATAGATGCTTATTCCCCATAACTATTGAAGATCTTATCTCATCTTAGTAACTAGAGTAGGTGAATGACAGAATAGGGGAATGAAATGCCCGTGGAGGATTCTGTCCTAGGTATTGTTTTGGCCATAACCAAAGCATTTCCTGGGATAATTGCACAGGGTCAGTTGATCTGTGTCTTGTGCATCGACACAGCTCCTTCTGAATCACAATAAAAGGACTGGTGAGAGGAAGAAGTCAGCATCCTGTCTTCTAGACACTTATTAACACAGTGGCAAAGAAATATTAGCCCCGTTGCCACTGGGAGGCTGGTTAGTGGCCAAGAGCACAGGCTTGTATTCCCTGTGGGGTCAAGAATTCTTTGGCACCCCGTAAACCAGCACCTCATCTTCTAGTCATGACAGGACATGTGCTTCCCGCAAACCTTGGGGCCAGCACATCTGACCTGGGCACCTATAAGCAAGTTCCTGCAGCTCTTGGTTCCCTCCGTCCCAATAATCCCCCATCCCACTGTTGCTCCTTGTCAGTCTGGTGGGCTTTAGGCAGCCTGGGCCATTCTCGACATCTTTGGGGGACCACCAGGCACAGGTCTATACCCGACACCTAGAGAGATACTCCTGGAGGGGCGTGCAGTCCAAGACCAGCTTCCAGACCCCATCGGACCTTCCAGGCTCATGGCAGCCTGGCTCAGGGTATGGGTCACAGAGCCAGTTGGTAGGTGGTTCCCAGGGACACTGTTTTTTGAGGGATCCTCCCCAACAAAAGCAGGGTGGCACAAATGATTTATGTAGACTTTGCACTGATCTGCAGTATAGTTGACCTAGTGCTCTGCCATACATCCCGGGGCCAGAAATTTGTACAAGGGAAACTCACTTCCTCCACGAGTGGCCCAGCTCGGGGCTCTTTTAGTCCACAGCTGTTACTTCCTGGGTGTGAGGTCAAGGTGCAGAGGACTCACTTCCATGGCTGGACCATGGCTGGGGAAAGCTGGCAGCTAGGGGCAGACTGTGAACCACTCTGGCCCTTTGCTCAGGCTCCAGAGAAAACATTAGAAGTTTCTCTGTTGTCATTTTTATGTTTTTAATCTGGGTTCTTTACTGGTTTTCGATGTAACTTGGCCTGGCAGGTGCATTATTAAATATCTTGTTGAAAAACGAAACAAAACAAAACTCACATGCTATGGAACTAACTACCTCTTTTTCTGGAGTTCCTCTTCTTTCCCTTGGCGCACTTCTCCCCAGGTCGGTTAAAGTGGACGAGTAACTTCTAGGGGACTCGCGGTCTATCAGAAAGGACAGGGCCAGAGTGAGTATCCACCTCTTAAAAGCTGATTGCTTAGCCATTTTCCTGGGTGGCAACTATGTTCCCCCTTAAATATGGAGAGACACCACAGTGGAGAACATGGGTATAAAACTCACAGGTCATCACAGAGTCGACACTGGACACAAACACAGAGCGTTTTAAAAGGGAAAACAAATCTGAGGTTGCAGAAGTATTATGATCATATGTATTGTTGCATTGCTGTGTAATCATACAGCAGCATCTGGTTCAGAAAGTTCCTAGTTGGAAGGATTTCTCATCTCAAAGACTTTGTAATATTTTTAAAATTTCTATTCTTTTTGCCTCCAATTCATAATTACTATTATAAGATCTATAGAAGATGGAGAAGAGCAATAATTTATAGAAACAAACATTTTGTGGAACAACAATTTAAGAATGTAGTAAAAAAAAGGAAGAGAAAAATAAAGGACGACGGAACTGTGGTCACGCCCATTCTCTCTCTCTGTTATTAAATATTTATTAAGTCTTGAGATGTCATCTTGAGGCTTAAGGCTTACGAGGCCTTACCTCTGTTTTTCCTTGTGCTGACCTAGCTATCAGAAAGTAAATATTTATTCCAAGAAACAAAGCGATAAAAATTCTCTAAACAGAAAATGTCCTATTGGTTGCCAAATTGCTTATGAAATATTGAATTGTTTTTGGTCTTCTTAAAGCAGTGTAAATAATTAATTAATTTAAGAATTATTGCAAGGACCTCATCATGGTGTCTGATACTTCACATGTTTACATGTGGGAATGTAACTGAGGGCTGAAAGCCTGCCAGTAACCTGCGTTATAAAATTTTACTAGTCTAACAGGGTCAAAACTTATAAATTCTTTCTCTTATCCCTTTAATAAATGTAGTTCTGTTGAATAAAAAGAAACATTAAATAGAAGCTAAATTCATCTGTGAAGGAATGAAAAATGCTGATTAATTAAAAAAAATTGTTTAAAGTTTTTGACTGCTTTACGAGGAAGGATTGTGTACTCGAAGCAACTGGGATATCAGTTACATGACGATAAAGATAAATGTCTTGGGAAGGTAACATAGCTATAAATATTTTAGGTAAACGTAACCAGTTATTTTCATGAATGCTAGGGGATTATGTGCAGTCTATTGTTTCATTGTAAATTAACCTACTTTTATGATCATAGGGCTCTCATAGTGATTGTAAATTTTGAATTACTTCTACTAACCCCTGGAACAGAAACTATTTTTCTTTCACTTGGCCTAAACACCATTGGAAAAGTAAACATTTATTAAAATATGAAATGCCCTTTAAATGCATTTCAAAGCTCTCGAATTGTGTTTCATTAATAGTATCTATTCTATGTGCGTGTAAAATTGAGAGGTGGTTAAACTGTAATTTTGAAAACTCGGAAAAGGTAGCTCATTTACTAAAACACTAAATTGACACGTCTTAGTGAAAATTTCAAATTGTAGAAATTGATTTTTAAAATTCTAATTTATTTTTGAATCATGTTGCATAGTATAAAGGGAGCAAAGATCAATACTACTAATATAGTAAATTGTGCAATAATAACAATTGAGCTATATATGTTAATATGAAATTTGAATTACGACTCTTTTTTGCCTGTGGAGACTATGTTCCATATAACAAATTCTGCAGAATTAACAGTTTGAATCTGTCACTGCTACCTTCTCTCTGGGTGGTCTTGGTCAAGTTTACTGTCTTCTCTGGGTCTCAGTTTCTTCAGTTGTGAAACAGTGCTCATTATAATACCGGTAACCTGGGTTTACGCCTGTACTAATTAGATAATGAATGTAAAACATTTTTCAGTGTCTGCTGCATGGAATACTCTCTATTGGGGATCCAAGCTTCAGCCCAGAATGCTTACTCTGACTTCTGAAAAATTTACACAGGAAACAGAGACACCTTAAGGGTTAATGAAAATAATTGTGTAAAGATATCAAAACACCTTGTCCTTTTCAGTTACAAAACACCTTGTAAACCTCAAAAAATGTTCTCTGCACCTGAGTTATTTTTTTCTCTGTGCTGCCACTTCAGAGTGATAATCTATCTATGAAAAGAGAGTCGAGAGTCACTTTGAACCTAAATGGTCTAATTCAAATATCGATAGAGAATTGTTTGAGTAGAAATAGAAAATTAATAAATTAAGTGATAGGATGGGGGAGAAAATGAAGACAATGAGTGGTGGAAATGAGACTTGTATGTGTATACAGCTTAAAGATACATTCACAAAAATTTCATCCCAATTGTGCGCTCTAAGTAGAGAAAATGATAAATTAATCCTGGTCTCATATAACTGTCCACTGATGACTTCATTGCATAGTTCAGTTTTGCTTCCTGAGTGTTTTGATATAGTATCTTCTATATAGAATATGAGCAAATTATTGAGTGAGTGACTACAAAATTTTACGAAATCAAGGAAAAGACTAGTTGTTAAACTATTGCTTTTGACTCAGTTTCCGACAATAAAACAGCTAATGCAAAGCTGGTAATCTTTTAAGGGGACTGATATTCAATTATAATCTGTCCCAAAATCTTTTTACATGGGTAAAATGTTTAATTTCTTGTGCCACGATGACTGATAGATGTTTCAGCCCTAACATTAAGCTACAAAAATCGTTTTCCCTTTTGACTTTGAGTGAGTAAATTTTTGTGAATTGGTGATCACTTTAAGCCAGGCATGGAGTCCAAAGGTCACATGGGCGGATGAGAACTGTTCAGTGAGACATGTTTGCAAGACAGTGATGCTGGGTGGCTGCCCAGCGCAGGAGTGAGGAGATGGAGGAATGGACAATGAAGGAGCCGGAGGGTGGGTGTCTGCACCACAAGGAGAAACAAAGAAAGGCTCATCCACCTTGGAGACTCAGGGCCCTGTCCTGGCTTTGGAGGTGGTAGTTGTTATTGGGGTCCATGTCCTGGAGAGAGGCGCTGTGCAGCATTCTCCCACAATCGTTTAGGTACCACGGACAGTGGGTAGCGCCCTCTGGAGGCGGGGGGTGGAAAGGCTGGTGCCTGGGGCTCCTTTTCAGAGCCGAGAGGGATGAGTTCCTTTGGGGGACGTCTGGCATCAGTTCGCTGATCAGACGGTGCAGTATGCTGTTGTCCGGCAGGCTCCCCCTTCTCTTTTCAGCCTTAATTTGGTCACAGATGTCCTTGAGGGCAGAGTCCAGGGCCTCAAATACGGACTTTTTACACTTTGCCTTCTCGGCCTGTTTTTTGGGAGTGGAATTTTTTTTCCTCCGGAAAGGCACGGGACTGACCAGAAACGCCAGTTTGGAGAGGCCGGGGTCCCGTTCTTGCCGTCGGGGGTCCTCCGTATTTTCGTGTCTGGCCCTTTCGTGCTTTCGCATGGTGGTGAACCGGGTGTAGGAGGCGGGGCACCGGCCTTTGCAGGAGCTGACCAGGTGCCGGTGGTGGTGGTGGTGGTGGTGGCGGTGGTGGCCGGGCCCGTAGAAACTGTCGGAGGACGTGAACGAGAAGTGGTCGAAGTCGCTCTCGCTGCAGAAGGACGACCCTTCGACGAGGACGCAGTCGCTGTGGTCGGACCCCGCGCCGTCCTGGTCGCTGTCCGAGAACTCCACGCGCGGCCTCGGGGGGTCATCGTCGGTGGAGACGACCTCGATGTGGACGGGCACCAGGGCCCGAGGCTGGAAGCTCTGCGGCCCCTGGCAAGGGCGTCGGCCCTGGTTTTCCTCCTCCAGCAGGGACTCGATGGAGAAGCGCCTCTTGGGGCACAAGCCGTTTTGCTGCACTTCTTGGATCACGGGAGACAGCGTGTCGCCTCCCAGGTTGGGCATGGACTTGGACTTCTGGATGAGCTTCTCGAACTCGGAGATGCGCGTGGGCACCATGTCCCGGGGCACCTCCTCGGCCGAGGGCTGGCTCCACGCGTGCAGCAGGCCCGAGCCCGGCCGCTCGTTCTCGTACTGCAGGATCCGCGACTTGACGGAGCAGATCACCTCCGAGGTCATCAGGTCCTGCCGGTTGATGCGGTGCATTTTCTTGTACATTTTGAGGAAGCCCGGGGCGTCGTGGGCGGAGCGGTGGTGGCGCAGCCGGGCTCGGCCGTCGCCGCCGCGGGCCTCGGGGAGGTAGGGGGCGGCCCAGGGGCGCGGGCAGCTCCCCGCGGCGTCCTCCTGGCACAGCAGCGAGCCCAGGCTCTCGGACTTGGCTTGCGGGTCCGGGAAGCCGTCGCAGCCGTCGGTGAGGAGGTCGTCGCAGCTGCGGGACTTGATTTTGGGGGAGACCGTCTCCTCCGTGCTGCTCCAGACCTCCGCGTTCTGCCGGGCCATCTGCCAGCCGTTCTTGAAGGCGGCGGCCCGCTGCGAGTCCCGCGGGACGTCCAGGTGCTGCTGTCGGTAAGGGTTACATTCGTCCGCCTCCTGCGAGGCGCTACTGGGCAGCCCTGAGCAGCTGCAAAGGGACGGGCACACTGTGCCATCCTCCCCACCTTTCCGTCCAGAGCAGCGTGGTGGAAGAGAGACAGGTGAAGAGGTTAAAAGTTTCACAAAGCGGGGAGCACAGTCAGTTAGCATCAGAGAGCAAAGCAGAGAGAAGGCAGCAGGGTTTAATCTACGCACGGACTGGCACGTGCGAAGCTTCAACTTGAGAGGAAAAGGTCTAATTCTAAAGCCTGCTAATACTTTTCAATGAGTGCAGCTTTACAGATATTAGAGTTTAAAAACCATGTATAAAAAAGTGATGGGTGTAGATAATACCCCTGTTTCCACAGAATACTTTATACATCTTCCTGTGAATATTATACACCCCAAATGCAATAGTATCTTATAAGCTAACAGCGTGACCTGGTAGTAATTAAAATGTTGAACATTAATGCCAACAGTGATATAGATTTAAGCAACTTAATAGGGTCAGTATTTGAATCTCTTTTGAAATATAAGAGAGAGGTAAAGCGTAATTTATAAATTTCCATTTAATTAAAACTCCCCTAACTATATTAATTAATTTCTCACGGGTATTAGATACCCAATCAAGATAGAAGGAGACAAAGTGTTTCCCCCAATTGCAAAATCAAGATGCTGTGAACTATTGCTGGTAACATTTTCCCAAGAAAACAATAACTAGTGTTTCTTTAAACAAGACAAATTTACCTCTTTAATTGCTCTACCTAGAACCTTTTCTTAGGCAGGTTCTCCTGAGGATGACTGAATATAACATAAAACTTTCATCAGCACCAAAGGCTTTTTGCTTTTTTCCAGGGAGGGTCCTGAAAAACTCATTTGCAAGTTGATAATAGAGAGCTAAACATGGCCTCAATTTGGGATATATATGGAAATACTCTGCTTTGCTGAGTTAACTTACAAGGGAGGAGCCAGACACATGTAATGGGATATTTTCTTTTTAGAAATAAACCCAGCGGAAGAAAATATCTCCGTTCATGGTGCCTGCCTTATAATCCTCCCCAAACCCTTCAAAAGTAGATAAACACATAAATAAGAAGATAGGTAGTATTTGGGAAAGGAGGCAGGCGAGGATGAAACACCCCTTAGGATGAAAACAGACATCTGAATCAATCGGAATTCTTCTAACTTTTGGGTGGTATCCAAACATAACGAATCAATGGCATTTAATCACCCATGGGTCACCTTAAGAGATAAATATTTGCATAAATTAGTAGGATCTGATAAAGGTAATTTCAATTGGAGGAAAGGTGTCATGAAACAGTAATCACAGCTCTCCTGCAGGGTGGATGAGAGCGAGTGTCTTCTGCTTATCCAGACTCTAAGCATTGGAACCCGCCTGTCTTTTGCACACAAACCAGCTACCTCTCACCTTGAACTGCCATGTGGGGACCCTTTTAGTGCCTGCATTTGATACATGTAGCTGAATCTGTGCTATGTCACGGGGACTTCTATTAAAGTTTGCTTTCTTCACCATTTCGGACCCCTCTCTGTTCTGTTTCGACCCCAGGAGACCGAGGAGACCGTGGAGCCTCACTTGTGGTCCGGGCCCAGGTGCCTAGCGATGTTGGTTCAGCCCTCGGTCTGCATCTAGCAGCATGTCTGTTATGGTGGCAGCTAACACACTCAGTAGTAGGTCAGAGACTTGAGGAGCGACTTGCTTTGAGTTTCCAGGGGAGACAGGTCATAGGAAAAAGGCTAAATTTTATAATTATGGCTAAAACCCGGTAACTTCTTACTACTGTACTGTCATGGATTGAACCCTATGTTACACATAGAACATGGATGTTCTACTGGATATGTGACTATTGACCAAAATATACAGCAGATGATTCAAGGAATGACTTTGCAGGTTAGACAGTTTTTTCTAGAATTAAATAATTAAAAGAAGACCAGTTTATGTGTTAGGCAACAATATTCTCCGTTGCTACTTCTAATTCCTATGCTAGAAATTTGATTGACTGTGCTAGCTGTATAACATTAGAAAAATCCGACAATATGCAAATGTTTATAAGTGTAATCTTTTAATGGCCTGGCAATAAGTTATTTGATGCTTTGCATTTGTTCCCTCACAAAGCCACAAATGATATACTTAGAAGAAAAAAAGCATCAACAGATGATAGAGTCCTCGTTGCTACTCCAGGGGCTGACCAACCTGAGTTCGTCTCTGTGTAGGAAGAAAGCTACTGCTCCAAAACTGTATATAAATGCTAACTATCTCCGGATAGTTATCACCGGACCTGTTCTCACATGGTACTCGGGGTTAGAACTTAAACTAGCAACTTGCTTATGCTGTTTACCTTTTGCTCTGGATGGGGAGGAAGGCGAGGAGCTAATGAAAGGCTGTGTCAGGGTGGCGCTGGCTCCCGGGAGGTCTGCCCGCACCGGGCTGGTCCTGCTGGCCCTCGGATCCCCCAGGCCCCGCGGCTGCCCCACGGCGGGCTCGCTCTTCCTTCTTTTCCTGAAGTCGCTGGCCAGGCTTGCAGAACTGAAAAAGAAGGAAGCAGCTTCAGTGCGGCTGGTGCTGGAGCAGGTCAACAGGAAGCAGAAGGACCGGTGGAATGTGCTAGTAACACGGTAATAACTCCTATTTCCCAGCCCTCAAACTGCATTTTAAAATATTCACTCCTTGATATTAAACACTACTTCTTTATCATCATCATCCCTTTAAATTTTTTTGGATAGACTTTATTCTTTTAGAGCAGTTTTAGGTGACTGAAAAGTGTTCGGAAAGTATAGAAAGCCCCTTGCACATATTCCCTTGCACACAGCTCCCCCTACTGTTGACACCCTCTATTAGCGTGGGGCGTTTGTGATGTTGAAGAGATATACGGGTACGTTGTTACTACATGTAATCAGATCCACAGTTTGGGTAGGGTTCGTGTTTCCTGTTGAACTTCTGAGTTTTGGCGAATATGGAATGACATGTGCCCATTACTACGGTACCCTATAGAATAGTGTTATTGCTGTAACACCTGCCCACACCCGCTTCCACCAGGAGCTCCACCTCTTCACGCCTCTCTCCCCCTAAATACCTGGCAACCACTGATCGTCTTACTGTCTCCATGGTTTTACCCTCCTAGAACGTCACACAGTTGGAACCTACAGCACGTAGCCTTTTCCGACTGCCCTCAGTCATTTAGCAATACGCCTTTAAGATTTCTCCCTTTTTTTTTTTTTTTTTGCTAATAGCACATTTCTTTCCATTACTGTATACTATTCCATTATCTGGGTGTATTGGAATGTGTTTACCCATTCAGCTCCTGAAGTGTATCTTTACTGCTTCAAAGTTTTGGCAATTCGGGACAAAGCTGCAGTAACATTTATGTGCAGGTTTGTGTGTGGATCTGAGTTTATAATCCTCTTTCAAAGTAAAAATTCTCCAATGAGCATAAAGTGTTACAACAGACGGTTTAGTCCTGTGATTTGTGCCACGCATCTGTTCTCCACGAGGAAGAGTTCTCACAACGAGAACACGTCCTGAGGAGGGAGGCGGAGGTGGAGGAAAGGCTTGGGAGGGAGGGAGACGGTGGGGGAGACACATTTCTCACCCCAGGGCTCTTCCTGATAATCTCAGCTTTACCAACCTTGCCCTGGGATTCCAGGACTTTCCTGTTTGAATACTGGCAACCGATGACCGGGTCAGCAAATAGACCACCGAGGAGTCCTTTCACCCGGCTGCACTAAGTGGTGTCAGCGGTCGTAATGGCCGGACGTTTTTATCTGAGCACAGTGTCATACAAGACACTGGTGCTGGGAGGCACACATCACACAGCACGCCGTCTGTCAAACCTCCTGTGAGCCAGTGGCGTGTTGTTTGTTTTGCTGACATCAGTGTCCTCGGTCCCCCACCGTGTTGTTGCCCCTGTTCCACACGTGAGCAAGGGGAACACGCCCCATCCCAAGTGTGGAGGTGGGGCCGGACCTCAGCACTTGGCTGCATTCTTCAAAAGAGGATGCCCCCCTTGCCCTAGACCTGCCTCACTGTCATTATTTTGTCACTTGAGGGTCCATGTGTTTTTACAGCAACCACAGGCTATATTAGAACGCTGAAATTCCAACATGTTAGGGAAAGAGGTCTACAGGAGGGGTTGGAGGAGGTCCTTTCTTGGGAACATTAATGATGTTGGTGGCACTTAGGAGCCCAATTTGTAAAGTTTTCTTAAATCTACAGAAGGGAAAATGGATGTGACGTAACTGTGGGTATGTGTTGTTGATGACTCGGTGTGGCTGGCAGTTTTTGAATTATTCGGTGTTGCTACTGAGCTGTATATGCGTTTCTGCGATGTTTTAAAGTATTCAGAGCCCACCAACAGAACTCGCCTTGGCAGACTTGTAAGGCGGGGCCGGTGGTTGGTCACCAGCTACTTAGGTTCAAGTCTCCCTGGTCTCTGCTCTTTGTCATCTGTGTAAACCTCAGTACGTCACGGAGCCCCAGTGTCAGTTTGCTCAGAGATGAAATGGAGGCGATGGCCCTTAACTCAGAGTGGTGTTTTAAGGGGTAAATGTGTTTATGTGATTGGAATGCCCAGTATAGAGTGAATTCTCATCCATTGGTGGTAACTGCAAGTCCAATTTGCGTGGTCAGAGTGTAAGGAACAAATAGGCATAGAACATAATTTATAAAAAATGTTAAGTATATTATACATCTCATAAAAATATTAAAAATTAAATGTTGATAATCCCCACTTAAACAAAAACTGGTTATAGAGGAGACAGGGAAGGGGAAGATTTCTCAGTCTATAAAACAGTCCAAAGTTATTCGCTTGACTTTTTAAAATAAATCCTTGAATGGAACCATTTAAAATGATGCAGAAACAAAAGGAAACAACTCCACGCAGTATGGCGCTGAAATAAAAACATGATCCGTAACCCTCCTCACTCAGTTACTGAAAAAGAAACCACTGGTTACACAATAGTCTAGTTGCACCGTGTAGCAACATTCTTACCTACTGGGCCTTTCCAGAGTTCTGTCTATAGAGGACTGATACAAGGAGGCCTGTGGAGACAGAAAAATTTCACCATGGCAACATTTCTTTTGTCCACGAATATTCAATTAGGTATGCTAAAAAGAACATGGTAAAAACTGAGATTAAAAATACCATTTGTTATGAATATGAAAAGTGTCTTCCCGCAAAGAAATCCTGCCAACCTGGTTTCTCCTTTCTACCCACTCTTCCCTTCTGAAGGACCACACTCTATCTGTTAGTTTTACCCAAATTACTTACAACCTCAACACTGCCCGGGGAAACGAGAGGAATCAATCACCACTCCTCTGTGAAGGAAACTGACTCTAAATATAAATTTCCTACATAAAGGACGGGTTTGATATTTTTTTAAAATTGGTAGTCACTCAATCATTTTAAAACATGAACTTTCTTTATATATTATTGTCGTGTCGCCAGGTGTTATCTTTAAAACTTAACATGTCAGTTGGACTTGAGATACCTTTTGTCTGTCAATATAGATGTGACATTTGAATAAAAACCACAGCCTTTGGTTTGAAATTAAACTACTGGTACTTAAATCAGGTATAGGTTGTATCTTTCAAATAGTTACATTCCAGGTTAGTTTAAAATAAATGATTTAATGAACCAACATACAGCCTTTTCATTAAAAAAAGTTGACTTCGAACACTTTCATTAGAAAATCAACTGTCAGTTGTTCATGGTTGTAGGAACAAAGAAAAATAGAATATACAAATTGATAAGTAATTCTAAATGCTTATTATAGACAGCATTTTCATACTCCTTCATTCTGAACAGTACAATGTAATAGGTATTAAGCGAAAGTGTTCCATAAGGATGTTTCATTCCCATGGCCATCTCCTGGAGTAACTGCTAAAATAACTAAAAGGCAAGAGAGGGTCAATATTGAACTCTACAGTGTTGGAGGTGATGCCGATGTCTAGAATATATACAAAAATGTCTGCTAAATAGTCTTGGCTTAGGTGTTATTTACTGATTAATATTTCATCACTAGTATTTATTGGTCTGATGAAGAAAATCTGGTTTGAAAATGTTCTTCCATATGAATGCCTAAATGTCAGCCAGAAAGGCAGAATTTGACACGGTTTATCTTAAATGATTACCACTAAGAAATATTTTACTGGAGGGCTAGTGAAAATTAAACCGCACTTCAAGAACTATTTCTATAACTTTTGTTTCTATTTGTGAGTTAGCACCAATTAACCAGTTAAAATATTAGCATATACTTTTGAGATTGTTTATATAGATCAGTCTGGCAAGCCCCTTTATACAAACTCTAAAATTGCTTCTATTTAGTTATATTTTCATTTAATCCTTCTTATTAAAGAGAATAAATTCTTGCCCAGAAACAAACAAAAAACATCTTCTGTAAGACTATGTCCTCCATGTTAGACAGAAAAAGCATATTCTAAAACTTTTAGTTCCTAAAAAGTACCTAGATTTTTAGGTTTTCAACAAATATAAAATTAGAAAAACTTTGGCTTGCTGATAAGTTTGCAAGATTATTTTAACTCATTGAACTATGAATCAGACACTGGAAAGGTGGAAAAATAAACACTAAATAAGCAGGAAGGCAAACAAGTAAATAAATAAAACCAGATGCTTACACTTCAGTTTAGAAATATTAACTGTGCATGTTTGCAGAGGAGTAATAATACCACAGAGCTCTGGAACATTCCATCTGCATGGATTGCCCCTGTGCTGGGCCAGCCAACCGCCAACCACAGCTGATCGTTCGGAGCACTCTTTGAACATCCCTAGAGTTTGATTCAGACCAGAGAGTCTGAATCTCCCACTGGGGATGAGCCTAAACAATACTGTGGTATGAATGAAAACATCATATAGGAAGTAAAGGCTCTGTACTTCCTATTGTCTTAGAGTTAGGCTAAGAAACGACAATAATTCCTCCTTGGGTTGGTTTCCACAATCCAAAATAAACTGAAGTGGATTGTGTGATATTCAGAAGGAAAGACTCAGTATTAAATTCTAAGGAAGCAGTAAAAAGTCTACATAGAAGACTAAGAGCAAACCTTGTATGTTGATTGTACGAACGGTACTCATCCTGAAATGGGAACTGTCTCCAAAAAAGAGTTAACCCTATTTTACCTGTTATGATTTACTGAGTAGTTACGTATCACCATTATCTTACCATTTAAAATGACCTAAACGAAGGTCATTTTAATAAAGTACAGGTACTTAGTCACTCTTTCTATTAAGCTATCATGGGATTATACTTTCCTTAGACATCTTTACCTGTTCTTCATTAATTCCAGTTTCTCAGTTATATTTATGGATTAGAAAATTTGTTCATGGCACATTCTAGGCACTTGATACTAGGTACTTGGTGGCAGCTAGGGTAATGGCTAATTAATTATAATTTTTACAAAATACAGTACCTTATCAAAGTACTTGTTACACTCTGAAAAGCCATGATATGAAATTAATAACATAGTTAATATGCTATCAGAATTCTACAACACCCCTCTTAACTCCAAAGAGGTTAACCACAAACCAGTTTAACCACCAGCAAAGTGCTTCTTTATGTGATTTTTGTTGCCACCACCATCGAGATACAGAATGCACAGAATTAAGTTTCTACTATTGGTAGCCCAGGAACTGAACAGGAATCAATGGTCAGGAAGGAACAGTATTAAGTGCATGTTTCTAAAACATTTGAGCACTAAATACATATCTCTTGGAAGTGCTAAGAAGTGTGGCATAAAGGAAACAGCCCTGATGTGAAGGTTAAGAGACCTGTTTTATTTTTAATTGGCCACCATCTAACCATGTGATTTTGGACATTACTTCCTAAAATAATTGAGCTCCACTTTTCTTGACTGAAAGATAAGGGAATTGGATATGGAGATCTCTAGATTCTATTTCAGTTCTCAATGAACCAACTGTCTTAACCTAGAAATACCTAACCAGAATATGAAAGAAATAGCTGACCAAATTGAATTCCAAAGTAAAATTCTGGGCTATTCAAATGTTGAAAGGATGCCCTTTCTTCAGATGTGAAGAAAGCATGAAAATAGAATTGCTTGTTGTATTTGATTTTCTTTACATTGCATGCCCCTCTACAAAAAAATGCATGTTTAGAAATGACTGAATTCACTAACCCAGACTGTTCCTGATTACTCTATTTTACTTTTAATTTAATACCTAAATATTTTGCTTAACTTCTGTTTAACATACACTCTGATACATAGCTCAGGGGAAATAATTTGGGATTGCAAATTGAATCTGTGCTTGCAATTCCAGTTTTCACCAGCATGTATCAGTAGTACTTTTTGCAGCATAGGCACTCTACTAGCTGTATATATTTTTTCTGGTTGCACATACTTAAATGAGTTAAGACTTTTCAATGAAAGTAAAACATTAATTAAGTGTTTTTGTATTTACTTAGGACCACAGAGAAACTGCTATTCACTTGTTCATTTATGCCATCCTAGCTGCTCCTAAGAATTCCCACAGGAAGGCTTTGATAGAGCTGATGTTTAGTAAAACTGTCACTCTTGCTTGTTATTGATGAGCCCTAAGTCTGCTTTCCAAAATATTTTATTTTTCCTTGCTAAGAGTAGGATAAAAACCTTTGACTCTGGATTATTTCTGCCTTTTTTGGTACTTTCTTTTGACTAATTCACATAAAGTTTTACATTGCTCGGCATTTTTTTAACCTAGCAGATGTTCATGAACATTTCTAGACAGAGGTGGCAAATGCATTCATGTCCTGTGCCAGTGAGATCGATTACAGTGGCTGCCTGAGCTACAGCGTGGAGAAGGATTAGTAATGTCTGTCAAGGGTGTGGAATTGGAAAGTTGTGGTATGTACGCCAGTTATTTATCAGCCCTATTTTTTTTAGCTTAAAAATTTTTTTCAATTACAGTTCACATTTAATAGTACTTTGGATTAGTTTCAGGTATACAGGTCAGCCCTATTCTGGATTTTATCCGATGCTAAAATGCACAAATTGTATTTAAGAAAACAAAAGAATTAAAACACATTTTAGGAATATGTGGGGCATAAATATCTGATTATCTAAGAGTCTAAAGGGTCATTCTGCACCTTGATTAGGGCTTTAATCTAATCGAAACAGGTGTTTCTTCTGTGCCCTACTCTTGGTTTTTGGTGATCACACTCCCAGATTCCAGGATTGTACTGAATCACTCGGCTCAGTTATGGTCAAAGTGACTCTTCACCCACATTTCAGAAAGAGTCATCACCTTTGGTACAATTAATGTCCAAGGCATGATACTGGTTATGACATCATGGTGCAAAAGCAGATTTTTAAAAATAGCTGAGACACTATAGTGAACTGTCAAACACAGATGTTCAGAATCACAGTAACAGGTCCTAAGAGAGAAATCTGGGAAAAAAAGAATAATTTGCTTTTACCTCATTGGAAACACCAGAAGAGTGATCTTGCACATAGTCCAGAGTCTTTTTAGGAGGCTGAGTGTCGGGGCACCACAGAAGCAGAGTGCAGAGATGGAGGAATGGAGGAGAGTCAATGGCAGCAAGGAATGAACATGTGGAAAAGGTGACAACAGTTAGAAACCGAGTGGTGACAGCATCAGGCACACGCACAGAGTGACGTGGAGGGAGCGTGACAGGGGTGGCCCAGGAGGAAGAGCGCTGGGTCCGGAAATACTCCCCAGCACGGGGCACAGTCTCGGGTGGTTTGGTTAGTGTGTCTGTCAATCCGTTTCATCCACTCAAATTAGCACTCCTAGTCTCGAGCCACAGAGGGTTGCAGGTTTACTAAAGAGACATCGAAGGAGCAGGCAGACAAGTGGATAGCATGCTGGTGAGTTTCCCTGTGGGGCTGAAAACGATTACAGAAAAATGTGGGTGATTCAGGCTCAGAATAGAAACTGGTAGAGTCCCTACAAGCTGTCTAATTGACAGTAACAATACAGATAAAACAGTTAAGGAAGTTGTTTTCTCTGAAATATATTTAGGTGACGATTTGGGTGCAAATTAGAAAAAATGGGAGAAAATAGTCTTCCTATCAGACATAGAAAGTCTAGGAAACTTCTTTGGTTTATGTTCATTTACGGTCACTTTTGGTCCAGTTCAATACGATAATGACCCTTACCAAGCCTCCTTTGCGTTTTAATGGGCAGAAGGGACTACTATAACCACCCAGTGGGGAAAATGCAGTTTAGTATGTGAGCATATAAATCAGTGTACGAGATGGCAAAAGAATGATCGTACTTGCTGATCTTTAATAAAATTCTGTGCAGTGTAATAATAGTGTGTCCTTTGAGAGTTTAAAATTCAGAAACACCAGTAAAATATAAAAAAATTATGTAACCGACACCCCGCAGACGCACTGCTGTCTGTGGATAGAGTTCCCCAATAAAGCCCGAGTCCATAAAGGAAATCGTTATTTGAGGCCTGGGCTGACTCTTTATGCCAAACAGACTGAGTGGTCCTCGTAAGGCCCACCTTCGGTGGCGGTTTGGTGACTTTCAGTAGCAACTAGAGATCAAGGCCCACAGAATTTCCTTATTTCCCCCCCTTCCGGTATATCCCTAAGGTGTTTTAAACAAGGTGTTCTATAGTGGGAATATTCTGGTAGTTCGTTATAGTGGAAATTGCCAGGAGGTTTTGTGTCTGTCTGTGTGATGGGAGTGGGCTCAACACCTGGGTTCATGTCATTAGAGGGGCACAGGGAGGACTCTCTGACCACAGACCCAAAGGCCTCTTCAGCAGTCGGGAGCTGTGGCGATAGTAATTATAGTTGTTACAAATGTCGCAGTGCTCTTCTGAGTGAACTAGACCAAAGAGGACTGTAAGCAAACACAAATCGATAAAACTGTCCCTTCGGATTTGCACAGATGTACAGTGATCCCAGTGCATGGACGTGTGGTAAAGAAAAACATTATGGCAGGTGTCCATTTCCTCCAGAAGCGACTGTGGGCTCAGCTGCTCCAAATTTGTGTCTCTAAGTACACGCTCGCTGCCTCTCTCTTCCGATCATGATGTGTTTTGTATGTCAAACAACATTCTCCTAATTTTCTTAGAGTAAGAGTCTAGCCTCACTTACCGGGCGTCCAAACTCCAGTTCTGAAAAGAATTTATACCAGGGCTCATTTTCTAAATCTATGTCATCTGGACGTATGCGGTCAGGCTGGATGGAGCAGACAGGAAGGAAAAGGGGAGGAAAAGGCACACTGAGAGGAGGGAGGGAGGGGCCCTGCGGGGATGAGCCGCGCACTCGCAGGCCCGCAGGGACCCCTCTCATCCCACAGCCTCAGGTGCCCAGAGCCCTGGGAGCCTGCAAAACGAGCAAAATCCGGAATGCAGAGGGGCTTCGAGGGCACCTCCTGGGCCCCTGTTTATCTCCACCATTTCTGCTCTTTCTCCTTAGCTGGAGGCAGTAACCATGCAGAACGGTCTGGGACAGGGAGAAGGGGCGCCGACAGCCCACCAGGGTATTAGAGCAGGCTCCCCTGGGTCCCCACGGAGCATTCCTGGGTGGCCGCCGTCCTGTGCTGGCCCTCACCAGTCCCAGCACCTGAGTCTGCTGAGGTGCGCAGACCAGCCGTGCAGGTGCAGGCAGGCAGGTGGCCAGTCGGGGAGGCAGGAGAGGGGAAAGGTGAGGAAGGGTGTGGGGAGCAGTGAGAGGTGCTGGGGGGCTGTTAGGGGTCCCCTGGAATGAAGAGCCTGGGGTCTGGGTGGAGAAGAACAGGGGCAGCGAGGCAGGGTAGAGGTGAGTAGCCAGCCTCTGAGGGTCCCAACCTCTGGAGAACAAGGACCGCACCTGACCTTCCCGACAGACGGGTGTTAGACACGGGAGAGAAGGAAGGAGCTCACCCAGATGGGAGAGAGAGCCGGGGTGCTCGGGCCTGGTGTGGGGAGCCCACTCCTGGGCGGAGGGGAAGGGCTACCAGCAACTTCTCCATGTGGTGACATAGAACTAGGCTTCCGGCCGGGGTCCCTTGGAACAGGTGTCGGAGTTGTTGGGAGAGGGGGCTGTAAGAGAGGGGGGAGGAGAAGCTGACTCGTGACATGGAGGCTCTCCAGGGGATGGCGGAGACACAGGAGCAGCCCTAGGAAGACACGAGGGTCCCTGGGAGATTGCTGGGGACAGTCGGGACCACCGAAAGGACGTGAAGACAAAGGAGCCTCCCAGAAAGTGCAGAAAAATCACGTTTTAGAAGAGACCCCAAATATCGCCTTTTCCCTGTCTACTCGCAGCTATGGAAATGGATTTGGATGGGGGTTGGTTGGTTAGGGTTGGGGGGAGGGCAAGGGAGAAAATCCTGCCCTGGTTTGGTTGACACTCTAATTTAGAGAAAAAGCCAACTTTTACAATTGACTTGCTCCCCTTCAGTCGTTTCTGAATATTGCATTTAAGGTAGGAAAACTCGGAGTATTAACATAAACAGTTTGAAAAAACACACACACACAGTTACTTTAGGAAGAGAAAAAACAGTCACAGAGCATTTACTTTACCCAGCCTTACATAGTGTTTCCAACAGTTCATGCCTGACCAGAAAGGTTCGGGCTGTTAATTTTCTATTAAAAATGGATGCTGAAAGTTCTATATAAATGTTACTTCTTTGATAATTATTACATGGCACTGGTTAAACATGGTGCAGTTGGACAGCAGTATTTGGAGTCAGAAGAAAACCCCTTCAGTTCCCTAAAAGCCATTCCCCTGAGGCCAGGAGAGGGTGTATCTGTATGAGATTGGGTGCTTCGAGATAGCCCATCTTCAAAGAGAAACCATTATTTTGAAAGTAGCTTGTCAGAGTGTTTTATTGATTTTTTGCAATGGTGTTGTTAATAATTTATAGTCTGTATTTATTAATCAATTGTATCCAAAGTATTTTGAGAGATGTGCTTTTTATTTCAATATTTTGTAATAGGAGGTTATACTGGTAGCTACGGACAGTGACAGAAAAGTTGAGATGTCAGGGCAAAATAGTAAAAGGGTCTAAGTTACCTGTCATATGTAGCAATTGCCGTGATGAAAGCTGTTTGGTAGCCCCGGGAAACATTTAGGAAGGGGTGTCAGTGATAAAGACGTGATGTGATTGTATGCTTGCACAATAGTTTGCACAGTGGCCACAAAGCCTGTGGCTGGTGGAGCTCAGTGAGGAAACACACGCATTTAAACAACAGCTGCAGCATAGAAGTGTTTCACGGACTAGTGCCGCTGGAGCTGATTTTTACGGCAAATGACACTAGAGAGGATTTTTCAGCAAATTTTGTTCTGTCTACAGAGGCCTAGTAATTCTTCCATAGAAAAAACTAAACGTTAGCTTTTTCAAGTCATGTTGTTTCTCATGTTATATACATTAAGAACATGGTTAATTCTTGGTTTTATGATCTCTGCTTTCAAGCACAGTTTTTGTTTGGCTAAAGGGAGACAGAAATTTCTCTTGGAGGAAACCAATTTGCTTTAAAAACATTGAACAGCAGAGGGCAGCGCATTTACTAAACAAATAAATGTATTTAACTGTGGGTACAACTTGGCTTTGACTTCCACCTGAAGAAACCACATAAACATGAATATACCAAATCCCGATAGACAGAAATATATTTCTATTATACAATATAGAATGGGGGGGGCAGAATACCTATCACCTTGTACTCTACCAACAGTAATCTTCTATGCATTATGATTTGATAGATTAAAAATTCAGTTTATAGTCACAATGGCCAGCTATCCAGATTCCACGCCAGTAGGAAATAAAGGAAAGACCCAAAACCATGACAACTGGTAACTATCTAGAACTTGGGAATGTAAAGGAAGGTACACCCGTAAAGAAGAGCCTTTATGGTAAAGGAACGGTCAGCAGCAGGATGGGAATGTCCTCTTTGCCTGGCTGACCTACTGCATCCCATTAGGCAGGCGACAGTTAACTGTGCTGTGTAGCAACCCGGACCCCCTGCTGAGGTACACCCACAGTCTCACCAAACCAACACTTTCCACCTGTAATTTGAAAGTCCCTTCGAGTTGTTTGACATATGCATTCACACTCAGAAATTCACCCAGGAAGCCCCATTTGCTCTATTGACTTGCTCACTAAAGGCACCGGGAGAGCAGAGATACTGTTGCATATCTTTCTAACCTTACTGGTTTTCACTTTTCCCACTTGGAAACATCTAGCAAACCTGCACTTAAAACAAAAGTTGCATCGTTCACTGCAGGTGGAAGTGCTTAAGAAAGTCTAAAACGCCAAATCACACCTGACTCTTACCTCAAGGCAACCCCGGGGCGAGAGGTTCTTAAAGTTTTTATATTTTCTCCGGCTCAAACGCGTTTAGTTGCTTTTTGGGTTAAAAAGATTCCACTGTTCCCAGGGTGCTCATCGCCAGCATATAATCTCTATATGCTGTTCAAACAGGAAGTGTCAGCGTGATCTGGTTCTTTAATTTTATGCTCATTAAATTTTAGAATTTTAGAATGTAATGAGCATAAAAGCTTTAGAATGGCATTGGCTACTATGTTTTATAGTTATTGAGTTTTCACAGTAAACGCTATACATGTCGTTAGTTGGGTAATTCTTTATGGCTTAAGCCATCAGATGGAACCTCCGACATTTGCAGTTTCAGCTTTGAACGAGTATCTTCATCGATGAAAAGGCAGCAGTTCACTGAGGGTTTAATTGCGTTTCAATGCTACACAGAGTTTCCAGTGATTATTCCTTTCTGCTTTAGTTGTCGCACAGAAAGGTAACATCTTCACATTATTTCTGTTTTTATCAAGCATAGGGAGGTCTTAAGTGAGTGTTTCATTTAAATGTGTTTGTTTTAATTGGCTCACCTATAAATATATCCACTCCAGATGGGAAAAAGTTTCTGTTGAGGTGGCCCCAGAGGAGGGTTCGTTTGACGGCCTCCTGGGATAAACTGAGGTCTAAGTCAGCTGAGGGTAGATTCCTGGTGCTGGCAGAGTGCTTTCTGAGATCAAACATTAGGCCATTTAATCCGCATTTCTAAACTTACAGTCAAATGCACATCTGTGCACTTTAAAAAACTGCATTCACTTTTACTTTCATGTTAAAGAATGGAAATGCATATTCCAGGTATTTCTAAGGAAGAAGGGGATTCTTTTGGCCAGAGTCTGAGGAAGGACTTTTATTTACACAGCTCTGCCCCCGCTATGCACTGTCCCCAGAGACTCATGGAATCAGTGAACTATAATTATTAAAAGCAGTGCATAGAAAAAGAAGATAAAAAAGATGAACAGTGAAAGGACAACAAACTCACAGTTATTAAGAACCACACCTAAAACAAAAGCAAACTAAGAGGGCAGCTAGATCAGGAGCAGAACCATAGAAATGAAGATCACATGGAGGGTTAGCAACAGGGGAGTAGGAGATGGAGAAGGGGGGAGAATGTACAGAAAATAAGTAGCATAGATGGTAGGCAGAAAATAGATAGGGGGAGGGCAAGAATAGTATGGGAAATATAGAATCTAAAGAACTTGTGAAACATGGTCATAAACTAAAGGGGGGAAATGGTGGGGGAGGGGTGTGGAGGGTGGAGGGGAATGAAGGGGGAAATAGAACAACTGTAATGGCATAATTAATAAAATATATTTAAAAAATAAATAAAAGCAGTGCATTGACACTCTTGTGATTGTTTGGATGTAGACTTCACAGATAAGCAACAGGGCAGGGAGTCGGTCTCACCAACTTTGCCCACTCACGGCAAGGGTAAAACCTATGCTCATTCATTCATTCATTCCTGTATTAATCAAGGATATTTGCTGAACACCTACTATGTGCCAGGCAGTGTGCGAGGTGCTGGGGATACAGCTGGTACACCAGCCGTGGTGCCTGCCTTCAAGGAACTTCAAGTCCAGTGAGGGACAGACACGAGGACATTACAGTTCAGTGTGGTGACAGCAGGGGGTGCTCTATACCTAGAGTTGAGGAGTCAGGAGGGTGTGGGGGTGGTGAGAGGAGAGGAAGGGGGTGGAGAGAGGAGAGGAAGGGGTGGAGAGAGGAGAGGAAGGGGTGGAGAGAGGAGAGGAAGGGGTGGAGAGCTCTTCCCAGGTGGAGGGCACAGCCAGTGTAAAGGTCTGGCAGGGGAGGAATCGATAGCTCTCAGTAGAGCTGGAACGTAGCTAAGCGAGTGAGTGAGGCAGGAAGGGCAGGAGGAGACGTGAGGCTGGAGAGGTCCATGGGGGCCAAACCACAAGGTTTGCTGTAGATTCCGTAAGGGGCTTTGATTTTTGCCATGAAGATACTTGAGAGGCAGAAGAAAGTTTCGAGCAGGGGAAATGATACAGACGGAAGAATCAGGGAAATGAATCAGTCCCCTGCCGCAACCAGGGGCGGCAATGCAGCTGAGGACCCACTCAGAGGGGTGCTGGCCGCGTTACCCCGGGGGTGGGCAGGGCTTTCAGATCTTTGGGAGAGAGGGGGCTCCCGGATGACAGTTGGGGAAACTGGGCCAACGGAGGAGTCATCTAACAATTGAAAAGGACAACAGAGAGTTACCTAGCTGTTTATAATTTACATAGAGTGAACTATGAAAAGAGCAGAAGACCGCTCCCACAGCACCTTGGAAGGAAAGGACAGGAGCGCGCGCTCAGAGCACCTGGGAGCCCTTGCCACGCGTTTCTCTACCACGTGACTCTCACTTAGCGAGCCTGCCGCTCACGCTCCGCACCTGGTGTGCTCCGGACACTCCAGACGCTCACGGGAACCGCATCAGTGCCCAGCCAGTGTTTACAACTATTGCTACTGTTGTTGCTGTTTTAAAAGTAGGAACTTCAAAGCTTGAACCCAAAGATATGAGCACCACCCTGCGCTCGGCACCCCCCCCTTCTTTCTTCTGATGTAAAAAGCAATCGGAGTGGCTTCAGGGTTGGCAACAACAACACCAGCACAAAGATAGCAGCCTAGTCCTCTGATAACAACCCTGGCCGTAGTGACACAGAGAACTAGTTTGCATCACCCTGCGTGAGACTGGCCCTCGGCAGAACTGTCCCTTAGGAGGGATAAAAGTTTCGGTTCTTCCCATTTCTTCATAAGACAGCCGCTCCCATTCCCTTCCATGCATTTAGGTCCCTTTCCGTGGCTGTGGAGACTCAGCCACACCCGATTCTCCAGCTAAACCCACGCTCCAGATCTCACTCTTCTCAGAACAGCTGAGCATCCTGGTCTTGGGTCTTAACTATTCAGGGCCCAGGTTTCTGGTTAAATCAATTCGGTGCACTAATTTATTATGAATTAGCAAATAAACTAAAAGTTATACTGAGAAATAATCAAATAATCAAGCGGATAATGACCACTAGCTAAGTGTGTCTCCCACTCAGCTAATCCTGGTCACGCAGCGGCACGGTCATGACTAACTGCGCCGGGAAGAATGAGCTGGCCTGGGTGCATGCCTGGCTCCAACACCCACCAGCAAAGTGACCCTGGGCCACTCTGTCTCTTTACCTGTAAAATGGAAGTGCCACATATCTGCTTCACAGGTGGTCGGGCTCACTGCGTGAGATAAGGCACAAATGACTACATACAGGGCCTGGCACATAGTAAGTGCTCAATAAAGATCTGTAACTATTGCTATGGTTATTGCTGTTGCTGTTTTAAAAGTAGGAACTTCAAAGCTTGAACCCCAAGATATGAGCAATTTGGGAATTTCGGTCACAATGACAGATGATTCAGCCCATGAATGAGCTGTTCAGGGGGCAAAGGAAGATTCTCTGGGTGTGCCTGTGTTCACCATATAGCAGACGGTCTATTTGTAGAAGTGCAGGCCTGCCCTGCACATCCATGAAATGATAGACTCGAAGTTCCTCGAGGCAGAGACGGTATCTTGCTCACTACAGTGCCTCTAGCACCTAATACAATGCAGGGCACACAGTTGGTGCTCAGTAATTTTGTCGAGTGAGTAAACAATGGAAATATCCTGATGGGAAAGCTTCTAAAACCAATCCTATTTCCTGACGCCACATCTATTGCAGCTATCAATATAATTTCAACATTCATTATCCTAAGAGCATCATTAATTGTTAGAATGGTCATTAAAGTTTTGGTATGTACATTTAAATATGAGACTCATTATGTTGCATAATCATGCTTCTGTTTTCGATTTTGTGGAACAGTGACATCATGATTCACTCAGTTCTCATCCTAGAGACCATGATATCTGATCACAGCTAGTAAATAAGTTTGTGGGGGAGCCTGTAAATCAGTGATGTTGCCTTTCCCCTCAGTTTTCCTGTTACTCTACTGGAGTTATTTGAAGAAAGGCAAAAAAAAAAAAAAGGCTTAGAAACATACCATGTATGGATGATGCGATTATAAGGTTTTTGAACATGTTTCTCAGGAACATAACCATAAAAACAGGGTTTCAAAAATGAAACTGAGGATGCCCACACTGGGTGCGGTGTGGCCAGGGTTTCCAGTGAAAAAGTTCGGGGCTGGCCTTGCATTGCAGGCAATAGCACCGTTTCCTGGATGCTTTCACAGGAGCTAACCAAGAAAAGGCATCCCTGCTCACGAAAATTCTTTTCAAGGCAAGGCAGGGAGCACACGCAAATGAGATCAGTTGTTTCTCTGGGAGCAGATTTTGATGGAGACGCAGAAGAATTACAGTTTCAATGAGATCCTGAGAGCCCTGACCGAGGAGGAGAGAGGGCATGGGAGGAAAACTGGGGACCTGAAACAAAGGGCGTCGAGGAGGGACCTATGTGTTAAACTGCACTTTGGGGAAGCACATAGTTACGTTCCAGCCTACATGTCTTTTTGTTTGCACATGATTAAATAGTTGTACAATATTGCAAAGTTAATTAGAATCTTGATCCATTAGATTGACAACCAATCAGGTAGCTTGAGGCTTGGCAACCTGAGAGAGATTTAATAAGAACCAATTAAAGCAACTTGTTATCAAAAAGGCCTTTGGAAAATTTCCCCTGAAATTAATTTATTAACATTTCTCTGGGGAAATATTAATAAACTTATATGAAAAGGAGCTGCCTGGGTCCCACTGTAGCAAAGAGGTGAATGAACGGTTTTTCTCATTAGCAATATAGACAAGCAACTGAGTGTTGCATTTTTGAGTGCCATTCCTTATTTTTAAAAACTCAACTCAGGGCTCTGACTGGACATAGTTATAGTTGCATGTAAATAAGTCCTACATTTAGTCTGTAAGGACAATACAGATTAGAGGGACTGCGTCTTCAACCCTGAAACTGGATCCACAAATCATAACACCAAATAAACACGATTTCTAAATAATGCCAAATAAATAAGTTACCTTTGTGACAAACATTGCTAAACGATATGACATTCAGGTTTGTGCGAGAACCCAGGAAGCCTAGGGAACTGGCATTCCATTTAGTGACAAGTGCTTACTGGTCTTTCATGCTGCAGAATTGATGATTTCCCAGGTTCGTACTCAAAAATACTTCTTGGCTCAGAACGAAATTTTCTTGTGTCAACTTTTCTGTCTGGAGGGTCCCAGTCGTGTCTGGAAATAACCAACAAATTACTCGTGACAATAATTCCCTATGTTTAGACAGTTCTGTGTAACTACTCGCTGTTTCCAAAGCTAATTTTTAGTACAGATTAAATGAAAAAAGTTTCACAGGTTGAAAAGCTGATCTGACCAAAATACCACATTTGACCTAAGAGAGTGGATGAAAGTCATTTCTCTTATTTCATATTATGTTTTCCTCTTTTTTTTCATACAGTGATTTTTTTCCCCTTTGGTTCAAACACTCACACAGGGGATTTGTGGGTAGACAGCCTGTGATCTGCTTCGTAAACCCTCGGGTCCCTCACAAAGGCAGCTGTGTACGTCTGTGTTCAGGGTGAGTGGTGGTAGTGCTCCGTGAAGTTACGTGAGTTTATCCTGCCACTCTGACCTGGCATCCTTGATTCAGAGTGACAGGGAGTAGTGCACATGCCATGTCTGATCTTGTTCATCTCGCAAACGGCATCATGGTGTGTGAGAAGTACTAAAGTATCACTTGGGTACCATCTGTAGGAGCAAACTGTGGGGATGGGCGATCCTCCATTGGTGCTGCTTTTGAAGAACGAGAATAATAGGAGACTTGGGAACCAGCTCTCTCCCGAACTGATGTCCTTCAAGAAGGGGTCACAGAAGGACTCCAAAAGTAGAGCTTCTTAGGTGGCTTTTTGGGGCTAAAGAAAGCTTCCTGAGTGGGGGTCACTTTTGAGAAAGCAGGATTTTCTGACTGTAGTTGGGGGCAATTCTGACCCATGGGATGGGGTAGAATTTGACTCCGTGGTGAGTTAGAAATAGAAGTGCCCGAGGCAACCAAAGAATTAGGGGCAAGGACTGGCTTTCTAGTATATTGATGAGTAACGTTGAGAAGAGGCGTTTTGATCACTGTACACGACAATGTATATGAAGGCCATCTAGAAACTGTTAAGAGGTCAGCATGTCTTAAGGAGAGATTTATTTTTACAAAACACATAGAGCAAAGGACACATTTAAATCTGAGTTAATTTTGGTTCTTTTTTACGGCAGATACACCATTTATGTGCAGTCAGTCATTTCTAGCCAAATTTGACAGGTGTCAAATTTAAGGCATCACAGTTGTAAACATACACTTCACCATGATAAGATTGGTATTAAAAGGAGAATCTTCTCACATATGCTCTGTGTCCATTTTCATGGGTTTAGAATAAAACGCATCTCATTGGGTTGTTCTCTGAATTAAATGATATAATAGGGGAAAAATGCTTCGCCTAGTGCTTGGCTCATAGCAAACTCTCAGTCAAGGTTACCTGTAAGTAGGATTGCCAGTCATCATAATTTTTAAGTGGCATAATACAAGTGTGTTTATTTTTCTGAGAATAGTTTCTACAAAAATATTTCAGTGGGAAAATGAAAATTCCTATCATCTCTAAACACTGATGGCAATGAGTCAATGGTAGACACTTATTAACTAATGCCTTATTTATAACTTAGGAATAACCTTCCTGCTTTCAAAAAGATATTTTTGTGTATCAGAGGGGAATTCGAACTTATTCATAGGCCTAACACTTCAAACCTGAGAAACTGAAAATTAACTCCATAACCTCTGACGTCAAAGGGGGCATGTCGATGATTTCCATTTACTTGTCTTCTCGGACGCATTTATTGATCAAAAAGATTGCACCCATGTTACATCAGGTCTAATTCAGGTCACTACAATCCTACGAACCAAGCTTGCTATATAATCTTGATATAATCTCAATAGAGGAAAGGGTTTTGTATAATCTCAATACACGGCACTTGTAATGACTGGTAAGATTATACACACAATATCTCCACCAATTCTTCTATTGAAGACCATGTGCCTCCTTCCTTATACTGTTCCAAGTATAATAGGCCCCTCTGCGGGGAACTCACTCACTTTTCTGTTGAAGACCGATCTCTTGGTCGAAGCGGTGGGACTGGAGGAGGAACGTGTGGGGGCGGGGCGGGGGCGGCCGCGTCCTTCAGGACGTCGGTGCCGTTGTCCGAGTGGCTTTTGGAGAGGGGCCTGTAGGTCTGGGTCTTCGCAGCCGGATGTGACTGAGCGCTGTAGGGTGAGTTGTACAGGCCTATCGCGAAACATGACACAGCAGAACAAAACGGGAGCAGATGACGTTTTAAAGGTGCGTTAAATTATTTGCAACCCATAAGATATCCAATGATTTTGCCAAAATTAATAATCAATGAGCGTATTCACAATGCATGCATCGGGCAGTATGATCTTTATTAATATATTAATATCATTAATTCATTGATCTTTATTAATATATTAATTTGTTATTACTGTATTCTGTACACAAGCATTGATTATAGTAAATCTTTGTCAATTACTTTAGAATTAGTAGTAATTCAGACTAGTACTAGGAATAACTCACAGTTATTCAGCAAGTTTTTTCCTGGATAACATAAACTAATGACATAGTTTAGATTTCAGAGGAAGATTAAAAATACTTAACAGAATCATTTCCAGATGTCTTCTGTTACTTTAAAAGCTCTGACTTACATATGATAATGGACATGTTAATTGCAATCAAACAAAATACTGAGCAAGTTATACACGTGCTGTGCAAGGCTTTAGGAAACTGAACCCCTTATGAAGCTCGTAGCGCATGTGGGAAATGAGACACAAATAGAACTATGATTGAAAATAGTTGGCAATACGGTAAAGGCCAAATGGAGAAAGTATACATTAAGGATTAAAGAATTTTGGAAGACGGGGTTGGTCAGAAAACATTCTCTGGAACCTAAGACACGGAAGTGAGCCCTGAAGAGGGCAGCAGAGATGGCGCAGAGACAAAAAGGAGGCAGCAGGAGCCAGTCGGACAGACGACAGTGGGAGGAGGGGTCAGAAGGAAGGGAAGAGACAGGTTGGCTGCTTTGCCTGCTGACTAAATGGTAAAACTCTCTCTAAGGAGCTCTGCAAGCTTATGTATAAGTATTTGATTTACTAATTACTACTGGATACAAAACATCAGTATTAAAAACAATGACAGATAGAAAGACACGGTGTCTGTGCTTATTGTTTTGCCTGGACTCCAGGCTTCAGCTGTCGGGCTTGGTAAAGGCAGGGCCATAGGCCCCTGATGGAGTTGCTGAGGCACAGTGCACCTCACCAAAGCAGACTTGATTGTGGCTGAGACCTGCCCTTGGAAATGGCATCTTCAACCAGTCCATCAGGAGTCGCCTGGCCAGCACTAGTCAGGTCATCCGCCGTCCCCTAAGGGAGAGCTGCCTCAGTAAGCAGTCCGCCTGTTCACCTAGTAGGACTCCTGTATCCCGCCCCCTTCTGCCTGTGAAGTCTTTCATTTCGTGCATCTCCTTGGAGCTCCTCTCTGTCTGCCTGAGGCTCGAATCGTTCTCCAAAGCCAATGAGATCTTTAAAACGGACTCAGCTGAATTTTGTTTCTAACGAGCTGAGTTTGGAGGACCTGTGGCAAGTTGAGGAAACACCTCAGTGGGGGCAGAAAACCAGGGGTCGAGTTACTTCTAGGCTTGTTCTGTTCATTTTTGTTGTTGTCACTCTGTTTTGTCGGCTTTCCCTCTGTTTGTCTTTGGGCAACACTCGCTGGATCCCTAAGAGGTCAGGGGCCTGTGTGCTGGGCTTCAGGTGTCTAAGAGGGGAGACCCTCCTGCAGTTCTGAGCTAGGCCAGAAAGGGGGCCCCAGGTGAGGCTGCCGCTGTGTAAGGGGAGGGGAGACCCACCCACGGAGCCTGCTCCAGAGAAAGAAAAAACAGACACCACGCAGGGTCAGGAGCCCCGTGTGGGACCCCCGGATATAAATGATGATGAGAAACATTTTTAAGGGGTTCCCTCACTTTAGCCCGCAACCAGTTCCCAAGATACCAAGACACTACGATACAAGTAGAAATGCCCGGAATTGAAGTCGGTCCATTATGACCATTGGCAACTCTGAGTCAGAATGGCAAAGTGGGATTTTCAAAGCTCCTTCAATGAATGGTGGCATTCTGGAGCAAAAGCGTAGACAAGGTCATGAACAGTGTGCTGGACTGTATGTGAAAGATCTTACGCCATGGTAATCACTCTCTCTGCTGATAAAAGGAGATCTTTATCTGATTTTGTACCCAGTACAGTATGTTCTTTCAGGCTGGCCTTCACACTTGGGTTAAAGATTCCTGAAGCTGAGAATAAACCGACAGTGGGAACGAATGAGATTAAAGCGTATTAGTTCTCATTTCCAGGAGGAAAGATCGATCCTTTTGTTATGCATGCTCTGAGGAAAAGGGGGAGGGGAAAAGCGTCCTCCTCACTGTGGAAGCGGGAGACATGCACTCAGAGCGGTGAGAAGGTGATACTCCCAAGCATGGCAGGGTGTAGGATACGCACTGTGAGCAAGCAACCCGTCCTACCTGCGTTATAGGTATAAGGAGTATTATACATGTCTGTGTCATCATCTAGAAAACGAAACAAATATTACGGTGATACAGATTCCATCACCATGTCATGAGAAGACAGCAGAACTTCAGAGACACAACAGAAATTTGTCAGGACACCCATGCATTGTTTTGTTGCGGGGCCTTTGCAGTTTGACCTGACTTGTCTGTGTGGTGTTTGCTCTGTGGCCTCTTCACAGCGTCCAAGGTCAGTCCCTTTACCTCCCTTCCCCAGGGAGCCTTCTCTTCTGGGTCATGACTTCGCTTTAGCGAGTGCTTTAACTGTCTCTGTCAACTCCATGAGACTGACCTATGCTTGCTCTCTGGATAAGGGGCAGACGTGGGTGGACGGAGGAATACTGAGTGTGAGCAGCAGTGTGCCATGCCGGTTCAGACTGTGGGGAAGGGAGGGTGAAGCGAAGACACCAGAGCACCTGGCGCCTCTTCAAGGTCCCCTCCTAAGAGGCTTCTTGGCAGACGAGGGGTGAGGAAGGAGCACAGGGGGCTGTGATTTGAGGGGTGGTGATATAAGGAGGTGTGTTTGAAAGAAGGAGTGGGAGCCAGGCAGTTTGCTAGGGTCTTGGCATTTTGGCTGATGCTACACTACACGGAAGGGGAGGATACATACACGTCCTTCAACCCGCAGGAACCCGATTGGAGCGCAGCGACATACGCACCCGGCTTGTGTACCATGTGGATCTGCTTAAACATCGTCTTGTACCAGTCCTTCGGTCTGTCAACTGTCTGTGAGAGAGAGAGTCGCAGTCACCGGCTGCTTCCCAACAGACATGGCTCCTGAACGCCACTTTTTCTGTATTTCATCTTTTATTTATTTACTTTTATTACTATTTATGTTATTTTATCTTAATTTTCGTTCAAGAACAGTTTTCTGCCTTTTCTCCCATCCCAGCCCACCCCCAGCCTTCCCCGCCTCCCTCCCATTTCCACGCCCCCCTTGTTATTGTCCATGTGTCCTTTATACTTGTTCCTGTATTTCATCTTTTTAAATAGCAAATTTCTGCTCTCTGATAAAAAGTCTGTTTCACGGTGGCAATGCTAGTCATTTGTCCCGGTGTGCATGTGGCGTGTACCTATATTACCCCCTTTTTGAGTCGAGGCTGAATTGGAACGCGATATATGCTATGACCTTATTTCATCCAAATCATAGTTTGCCCAGCACTAGACAGTTAAAATTTGCACAAATGTATTTATATAAAATTCACTGAATAAAAGTTATAGTGTTACAATACTGTGCTTCACTCCTTTTGGTGATAATTATTATTCTTCTCAAAATGTTTTTGGTGAGTGTTCTGTTTATGACATTATTTTTTGACTCTAACTGGGGTTAGGTCGACTTTGAGAGAAATTAAAAAAAACTGGTGTTTTCTAGTCTAAGTCACTAAAACATCAAAGTAGTGACACACACAACCCAGGGTCTGAGAGCAAAACTAAAAATGTAGATATTGCTTCAAAAAGTGTTTAATCTGGTAATAAAACATAGACACCATTTGCTTCGCTAAATTGTCAATTCCTTGAGAGTAGAAGCTTCCCCAAATGCAGCCCAGGCTTTGACAGGATAGAAACCATGGGCTGTAGTGGGAAGACAAGGGTAATGTCACGGCTACCTAGATTCAAATCTCAGCTCCCTTCATTACTGTTTCCTAGCAATGTGAACTTGGATAACTTAGGTAACCTTTCCCACCTTATGTCAGGGAACAGTTCCCCATCATGGAGTTGTTATGGAAACTGAACGAGTTGATGTACACAGAAAGGTCTAGGGCAAAACCTACAGTGTAAGAAATGGCCAATAAATAACAGCCACAGGGGAATATCAAATGTTGATGGAATAAAAGAATGAATGAATCCAGGTTATCGGATGGAAGTTGTCTACCATACTGTGTACCTGTGAAGGTAGACAGACACCTTTATGGTCATAATTGAAGATTTTTCTTGGCAAGATCTTTATCTCAACATTTCCAGAGCTGCAAGGGCAAGAAGCTCAACTATTCTGTGTCCAGTGACTGAATGTACCAGATTTTCTGAGATGATTCTCTTGATGCAAAATATTCTGTTAGGACTCCCACAAAAATATTCTTACATTTGTTAGGCTGAGCTTTGGATACCATTTTCTATCCTAATTTTTCTCTCGGAAATGTGGTCATTGCATTTTTCACCTAGACACTGAGGATTTTGTGCTACATCTAACTACTTTGGGGTCTAGGAATCTATGATCCTGGTAATGACCACAAATATAGATTAAGACTAAGGGCTACTTTGTTGCAAATTATCTCTTCATTTATTCTATGCTCTTCCTACAATGGAAAAATTGAAGGGATTGTTGACTGACCTTCTATTCGGATGGTGGGAGCTCATGGGACAGTGTACAGTAGTAACACAGGAGTCACAGGCTATTATTGGCTGATCAAGTATCTTTAAGAGACACTTATTTTCCTAAAAGACAGACTTCTCTTTCATTAAGCCTTTTTTCCCGTACAGTGTTCAGCGACAGAAAAGAAGACACAGCCTTGAGCAGAAACGTTTTCCAACCAAACCTGGACACCACCAAAGGCAATGAGGATGCCTAGTGAGTAAGTCACATCCCTGTATATGGCAGTGGGTCCCGCCAGACAGGCATTTTTTCTTCCTCTGCTGGAGGGCACGTATCGGGCAGGGCCTCAGTCCTGCCATCTGCTCGCTTTATATGGTGAGCACAGAGATGCCAGAAGTGCCCTGTCAGTTGGCAAAGGGGAACATGAAACTGGTAAAGGGGTTACAAAAACTCTGTGTCCCGTTCTAAAAGGAGTCCTCTGCGCGTTTAGAGTTCCTTTTATACATGCCAATGTGGAGACTGTTATGGCTAATACTAGGATTAAGTAAACAGAAGTCTACTCAAATTTGAAGATGTTTACTTTTGTATGTGCCCATCGGGAATTATCTCGCATGGATGCTAACTACTAGGAATTCACTATTCAGTTGTTTTCTATAACCCTGGCTGAACATACCTGGATTTTTATATTCCTACAGTTTCCAGAACATCAGAACCCCACGGTGATTTATCATGCAGGGATTTCCAAAAAGGGGAAATACACATATTTTCTACATACCAGTACACAGTTATTCTATTCTATTTTTTGCTCCTTCCCAGCTTTGAAAATGCTCAAACCATGTTGTGTCTGAACTAGAAGAAAAGAGTCTTGTATTTCACCTAACTAGCTGGTGGTAATTAGACAATCTCGTGGGATCTGAACCCTGGTGGTTTTTGTTGTTGTTGTTGAGAATGGCAATGAAAGGCTAACACAGACGGCCCAGGTCACGTGAGAGAGGGCAATGAGGGAAGTGGTGTTCCCTTCGTTCAAATAACTCAAAGGTACATTTGTTGACTCTTGGCTTTCTAGAGTTTCTGGTTTACTTTACAAAATTGCGTCTCCTCAGTATATGCTGGTTGTCTGGGATGAGACTCTAACGCGGCCCATTGAGACAGGACTGCCCTTGGTGTGTAACTCAATGGAAAGTCCATGGGAGCCACTGAGTCTGATAATCCTTACTTTCTACGGAGCTGAGAAAGAATAACAGCCCAGGAGATTCTTGGCCTGCGGTGGCTCAGAGATGGCCTGACTCGACTTTCGTAAACACGGCTATACTTGGGGATGTGCTCGGCAAGGCTGAAAAATAGGAAGCGTGAATGTGTCTTCACAGACTTGCACCTTCTTTGTCAAGTTTCCCAAGTCCCCAAACTGTGTTTTATTTTCTATTTTATGGAAGGGAAACTAGCATTAAGTGTTTACTTATGCATGCCTAAATACGCTTTTGATTTGGCAGTAAACAGTGTAAAACTTTAATATTACCTGATTTTCACTATCTACGACATCTCATTTGTTAGTTTTTTTCCTTTTAAATACTAACAAATAAGTCCTTGCTACTTAAGAAGATTATGTCTTGCGGATTAAAAAAAAAGGCCCTGCTTTGTCACTTTTTCATATCATCCGTTGATTTAGAAACATACCCAGAGGTCTCAGATAAAATTTTTTCAGATAGAATCAGTAACTATATAGAATCAGGGAGTTCCTAACTTGTGTGTATATTGTGCCTCAAGGATCAATTAAACAAAACCAATGGCACCATACCTGACACAGTACCTGTCTGACATGTTATTAGGAAAAAAAACTATATGTAACCCTTTTGCAACAGAAATCTTAAAAGGGAAACACACAACCAAACACCATTGCCAGAAACATATCGTCATCACAAGATTAAGAATGTTAGTCATGATCCCTGAACTTTTCCTGTCCCTTAAATATGACAATCACCAGTTCCAACACAGATTCTTAGGACTTTATAATTATCAATGTTCTTAGAGTCTAATGAATACAAACGAAACCCACAGGAACTGCTATCCAGATTTCCTTTTTGGCTTCCAAGTGTCCTACAGAAGCCTGAAATAGTTAATTTTTAACTCTTCTCTCTGTATATAGAACACATAATCCCCCATATAATACATGCAGATTAAAAAAAAATCCTCACACTTGGCCTTCAGGGCAGCTTGAGTGTTTCTTCAATCCGACCACTGCTTTTTCCCTGACCTCTTTCCCATTCTTTCCCTCCATCCACTATTTCCTGTGGCCCCCTCAGGTTGGCCTTCCAGGGAAGCAGCCCTTGGCAACATCCCAGCCCGGTAAGGGGGAGTCCTGGATAAGTGCAGGCCGCCTGAGCTCCCTCCTCCAGCTGCCCCCCAACATCACCTGCAGAGGTGCGGCTGCTCTCATCCTGGCTCCCAAGGCCTCCTGGTCGCTGCTAGCACAGACCTTGTCTTGGAGAGGACTGCTTAGCAAGCAGCTGCCTGCCCGCCCCTCTTTCAATAGCTGCGTCTGCAGCCGCTGAACGCTGCCAGAAGGGGCTGCCCCGACACTCTGAGCAAGGCTCTGGCAGAGTTTAAAGACTAGAAAAAAACCCTGCACACTTTCACTTAGCATCCCCGAGAGCTCTCAGCAGGCACAGGCGCAGACGGACGCTAAGCTGTGTGTTTGTCTTCAGTTTTTTCTGTCTGTGACTTTAAGTCCCTTCACTCCACTCCCCTCACCTCCCGGCTCCCCGATCACTACTCATCTCCTGGTGTGAGCACAGGTCCATTTCAAACAAAAATTCCCCGGGTTCTTTGCAGTGCCCGTGGGAGTGAGTCCGATGCAGCTCCCGCCCAACTCCCATTTCCTCAGCCCTCGTCTTTTCTCTCTATGGCCCTAGCGTGCCTTGGGTAAAAGGTAAAACAGAACATGTGTCGTTTCACAAAAATCACAATTTTCACGATTTTTCATTAAGACTGAAAAACAGATGGTGTGATGATCTCCCACCGACAGCTCTCTGTCTGCCACGCGTTATGGTCATGAGACCTCAGATGGCACCGAGGGCAGTTCTCAGCCGAGCCCAGAGGGACGCCCACCAGCCAGCCCTCGGGGAGTCCGTGTGTGGCCCGGGGCGGGGGCGCACGCTGGCCTGTCCTACCGTTCTGATCGCCGTGGGGATTCCAGATTCATCCACCGGCCCGATCCCCGGGTAATGCGGCGCCTTGATGACGGTCACCCTCTTCTCTTCCTCCGAGGACCTGTACAGCGGTATGGAGCCGCCCAGGGCGCCATCCAGGGACTGCGCGTGCTGGGGGTATGCCTCTGTGGGGTCTGCGGGGACACGGGCGTGTGCGATGCTCAGGGGCCGGAGCCTCTTGTCGCGTTGCGCCAAATGCGACACAGTCTGCTTCCATCACTGTCTCTTTTAACTCACTGACCTTCCACTTGAGCCGCTCGTGGTTGACATGAGGTGTACACTGAGCAGCCCTCTAACAGCATTAGAAAAGGTGCGACTGTCCAGTGAGACTGTCCTTTAAGGAGTCTCACGGCTACGTGTGAGTCGTCTAGAGGTCCCGCTGGCTCGGAAGCGGAGTCGCACCGTGCACACACTGCCTGTTCCCGGGGAACCGACAGCATCCCTTCCTTCAGCGCACAACCAGCGCTGGGGAGGGGAGGACGCCGGCTGGCGGCGAGGAAAGGGGGGGGGTCAAGCCCCGTGCTCTAGCTCCTCTCTCTCTGCGGTTGGTGCAAGGCCAGAGGATGGGTCCCCTCCCGCTTTTCCAGGAGCTGTGCTGGGATCCCGTGTGCCCGGCCTTCCTCTCTGCTTCCTGCGTCTGGGGAACCCTTGGTCAGCTTAACTTCATATGATGGTTTGATTCAGTGCTTTTTTCCTAACTGTTGTGGGTCAACGTTTTACATTTTTAAAAACTAAGGAAGATTATGATACGGTTCTAGTATCTTTTGGCATATAAAAATGTTTCTGTCATTATACAGCACAGTTTCTTTCCAGGGAAGCTTCCCAAGAGTTCATGAGCCCCGTGAAGTTAGATGCTGGAAAAGTTTTTTTTATCAGTGTTCAAGTGTTCATTCTGTTTCTGGAAAAAAGATACATCTTCTATCTAATTCTTAATTCCCCACAGATTAAGAACTACATCTCTTTGAAATTCTGGAACCGTTGCTTAAAACCTCACACCCCTGATGGGCAGTCTTCCGGCTCCATTTAGCGCAGCTGACTGCTTCGTGAGGCAGTCTGTCCACCCTACTGCACTGTTACCTGTTAGCTGACCCTTCTTTATGAACACCCAAGGAACTTTCTACTATGAAAGTTCTCCATGAGAGAACAGGGTGCCTCAAACATGCGTGGCATTTACCATGTGAACCTTCCCCCCAAATGCCAAAGAGCTGTCTCCAGACTCCACTATAGAAGCAGTGTCCTTGCCTTGGAATAGCTGGGTGCCTACTTCTTCCGATGTTGAACTTCCACAGTCCCTAATGCCCCCTTGAGAACACGGGCATTAAATAGTGAAGTGTTGAAGGCTTCTGCCTCCTTTTTAAAATTACTTGGGTGCTTTCTATTTCCCTCATGTGGTCTGTACTTGCTATTTTGAAACCGTCATGAAAATCACAGCTATCAAATGACTTACCAAGTGACCGGCCATGTGGCATGATAATGCTGGAATTGAGTGAGCCGGGTAGAGAGTAGGCTGAGGGCGAGAACGGCCTTTGGTAGTAACTCATCGGACTCACGGCACCTCCAGAGCTTCCATTCACCGTTATCTGGCTCTGAGAAAAGTGCAGAGACACCTGTTAAAGTGTGGTTCCCTGTAAACATCATCCCTTCAGATGACAATAAAAGATTTCCTCCAAATGACAGTCATCAGCTGACAAGTTTTTATTTCCTTTGAAAGCTGATGTCTAGAAGGGCAGGGCGTGTATTTTCAGTGTTTTCTCTGTCTTTCTTTACTTTGGAAAATCACTCTCTCATATGGCAGAGGGCATAGGTGGCGATTAGGAAGCAGCTGGCTGGTGGACAGGCCACTCGGCCAACAGGATGCCGAAGGTGTCGTAGGAGTCGGTCTACAGTGAACCCGGAGGGCAAGTTCATGCTGCAGCCACGAGTTAAGCAGTCAGAACACTGTTGCACCCCTCTGCCTGTGAGGCGTGAAGTGGACGATGATCTTGGACGGGAGGAAAGGGATTGGTTCTCAGACTGTCAGGGATCTTCTGTTGAATTAATGCTTCCAGGGCAAGGTGACTCTTAATGTAAGGCACACAGCTGTTTGGATTTATGTATCATGAGTCAATCTGTTCTAGAAGAATCAAGTACCTGGGAAAGCGTCAAAACCTTTGGCTTCTCCCTTCCCCAATCTCATTTAGCACTTGCTCTGTCTCTTGTTTCTTAATAATTTGTTGTTTTGATTGCTTTATATTTATTTTATATGCCCAAAGGTGGTATTTCAAGCTTCTCATCGGAGCTGGCCATACACACGCACATGTAAAAGTACATGCATCCAGGTACTAACAACACAGCAGATGTTCAGTAGACACATATCCTAATTGCACTGGATCAGCTTAGTTCCCAGAGGCGGCGGTCAGCGCTGTGAAACGTGCCTGCCCGCCCACAGCACAGGGCACGTGGTAATAACATAACACTCGCAAACGAGACAAAACCTTAGTAAGAGCATTTGGTTAGAGTGGCTTCCACGCCAAGTGCACACAAACACATGTATGCACATAGGTAAAGAAGCAGAATTCGTGAACTTTTTCTACTCATCTTAATGCAAAACCAACTTCTATTATGCATGCCTGACACATGGATGGATGATGCACTGCATATTTCCCCTTTTTTCACTGTAAAACAGACGTTTTCAAATGACCTAGAATAAACCTAGTTTCATTACTCTATAGCCACACCACATCTGGCCGAAAGGCAATGAACCTTTCACTGTAATGACTGCGCTTGTTGATGAAGCACTTCTCTAAGTGGTTATAGAGATCACTCTCAGAGCACAAGTGCCTGTATCCGAGGGTCTTCTGCCTGAAGAGCAGCGGGCATTCAAATAAGTGGGAGGGGCTGGTGTACCACAAAGCTCGGAGCTCTTATTTACGTTTGGGTGAATTGTTTGCGAATTTTTTTCCTCCTTGCCCAAATCAAGTTTGGTTGGTCTTCATAAGTATAATTTGAATGCCGTTGTTATAATGTGTCATAATCATTGTTAAAAACAGGAAAATCCTTATCAAAATGATCATGTTACTATGTTATTGAACTTGGGAAAGTTGCTTTAAATCCTATTTTGTCTATGACAAATGCTTATTTAAAACTTCATTATAAAGTCAGTTTTTTAGGAAAAATCTCCCATTTTTTGCCCTTATAAAGTTATATGCCTTTCAAATTAAAGCCATTATCTATCCATTAGATGCAGTTGAAAATCTGTGCCATAAAGTTGTGAAGCATTTTAACCATTCATAAATCCTCTCTTAGAGACTACTTGTCGTACAGATATATGCAAATGATATACATGGGAAATGTATGTCCCTTTAAGTGGAAGACAAATTATTGGCTTATAAAACAATATATGTACTCATAAACATCTATACTGGAATGGTTCAGGAAAAGTATTTTTAAGACGTATGGGGTTCAGTGTCTGCAGTGCAGGTTGGAGTCATTTGCACTGTTCAGTCCTGTAAGAAGGATGGTTGAAAAGACGTAAGTGGTAGACAAGGGGGGGCAGGGAGAACCAGCGGGATGCAGTCGGTAATCGTGTGTGGGAGAGAGAAGGGCCCACAGTCCTACTCACACAGGGTGATTTCCCAGGCTCCCCGAGGTAGGCTGTTATCCACCTGGATTTAATATTGAGGTAAAAGTTTTCTTTTTCTACCACTTCCTCATAATAATATCATATGTGTACTTATCTAAACTTCTGAGATAACTACTTACTAAGGCCAACCACTGTCCAACTCATTAGCTAGAGCAGCTTAGTGTGAAAAGAAGCAACTCTAAACTGAATGAAGAGATGAGACTTTTTCAGCCCAAAGTAGGTTTGTGAGGATGACTGTCATTGATTCCCAGGCCGATGATGGAGAATGGGTTTACTAATATGATAATCAATGCCTATGTGAATAAAAACACCCAGCGGCAAAATGAGACAGCTGGCAATCAGTCCTGTTGGCTTTTGGCGATCTGTTTAAAAAATGGTGGAATCAAAGGGAAGAAGATTAACGCCAGGGGTCACTCAGGGGTTGCTGTCTGGCACAGCAGACCTCAGACCCAAGGCTGGGCAGGCGTCTCCATGTGGCGGTGGTGTTAATGTCAGCTGTCCTCAGCCCCTGGTGGCTAGGCCTGGGGTGCTGCGTGCAGGAGGTCAGGAGCAAGGGTGGGGGGGTGCTGTAAGCAGAGCTCCGTGCGGGTGTGACGGCCCGTGCTAGTGGGTGGTGGCAGGTTAAGGGATGCGGGCCTGGGGTCTCGGTTTGGTGGAAGTGTTTTGGTTAGAAGGCACCACCGCAGGGGCATGAAAAAGAGGCTCACGGCATGGTGTGTCTGTGCATCTGGGAAGCATTTACCTCCGGCTCACTGGCAGTGAAGTTCTGGTTTCCAAGCTGAGTTTGAGGAAGAAATAATAAGAGCAGATGTAAATTATCCAATGAGTAAAACACCTTTTGGTCACGTGGCAGAGAAGACAAATCGTCAGTTCTGTTGGCAAGCTCTTTAAGGAGACACATTCAGAGAGTTAGGTGTCCACCACACAGGATGGAAGAAGCAGGAAAACACAGAGAAAGGGAATCCAGTGGGTGGGTTTTCCTTGAGAGAGGACCAGGTTCGACACAGCACTGTGTTGTCAGTTTGGGTGGGGGCTTGAGACTGTTAGCATAAAGGGTTCTTTCCCCCCTCGGAAGTTTTAGGTTTTGTACTTCCAACAGTAAAATGACATCAGGTTGTCTGTTGGTCAGCAGAATTTGTTTTCTTTTCACTAGAAAAGTCTATAGCATACCTACTCCCCCCCAAACATACCAAAATCAAAATCCGTTTGCCTTCCTTTTTAAAAAAATGACTTACAGATAGATATAAACACTGCTCAAACCAAAAACAACTAAATGGAAAGGGAATTTTGTTTGCTTCCCACTCACTGAATCTCTTTCTTGATTTCACCATAACGTACCAAAAGAATGAAACTTAAAAATACCCTAAGCGTGCAGATAGCGGTACCTGTGTGTGCTGATGAAGTGAAAGAGAAAACCAGCCACTGGTGATGGTTAGAACACCCCCCCACTGGTTAGAACTACTGTTGGCGCACCTGCCAAATGACAGGTGAAGGGGAAAGAAACTGAAGGAGAAAGAAAAGGCTCCTTTCCTCCTGACCCAAGAGGCTCCATGTGGTGGAGGGGCGTCTGCAGAAGGGAGAGAGGCGCTGGCCCGTTAAAGGCTTGTCGCTGTCCATTCCAGCTGTGCTGCTGCACCTGTGTCTAATGTGATGCCAAGCATCAACCTCCACACGAGAGGATGAAACCTTGCACCTTCAGAACAGAGGGGTTTTTTAGTGTTTGGTGTGGTGCCAGTGGCAAGATGGATAACCAGGAGTCCTGTATGATATTATGCAAGGATGGAGAGGGAATTGAATAGAACGGGAGCGGCTCAGAAAGCCTGCCTCATAGAGAGTAAGGTGGTGGCCTTTGGTGATCTTGGCCAGCCATCCGATTTGCATAACGGTTGATGGCAAGCAGGCTGTTGATCTTATAAAAAGTCATAATTAATTTTTTTGTCTCAGACTTTTAATTGAATACTTTAAAGGGAATCCGCCATGTACAAGGTCTCTCTTAGCAACAGATACATGAAAAGTCTGAAGAAAGCTATTTATTTTTCTGTTAGGAAAAACGCACAAGTTCACATAGGTATACACAAAATTCTGCATGAACTTTTGGGATTCATGGATACTCAAAGCATGTCCTTAATCTAACAGGTTAAGAAACTCTAACTATGGATAAAAAACAGATTTTCTTATTCTGTTTTTATTTAGTAAGATTTTTGTTGTTGTTTAAACATACTTCTTATTAATGTGATACATTTGTTACTGTACATGGTTTTAAAATCTCTAGGACTTAAATATCTTTACAGACTGTATCTTTGTTATCAGTAAGTTTTTATAATAATTGCAGATTTTATCACAGGTAAAGTGATAATAGCATGGAGCTGTAATAATTGCAAGTTAATAGGTTAGAATTTTTGCTACAGGTCTGAATGTACAGGGCAGGTCGGTGTCAGTGGGAGGTCTCGTAATAATGCGATTTCGCTGAAGAGGTTTTCATAGGACATGAATCTCTTTAGTTCTGCTTCTGCTAAGTGAAAACTCTGTTAAATAGAAATCATGCAGAGGGACTTGAGTTATCTTCTCAAAGGAGTTTTTCCTTTAAAAGTAAAAGGAAAAATCTAATGACCGTAATTTTTATAGGTTTGGCTTGCCCATACGCTTTGAACTAGAAACAAGTCAAAAGTGAAGGCATATTCCACTTAAAACCGTCATCGTTGTGAGTAATATGATCAGTCTGTACAGCCCTGTGTCCAGGAATGGCCTGTAGCCAGTTATTTGTTATTCCGAAGAGACACTGTCTACAGAAAACAGAACTACTTCACTTTTTAAATTTCTCTCACTCCCACTCGATATGCTCACAATTTTGAGTTTCTTTTTTAGTGTGTGTGTCTGTGTGTGTAACTGATGACATCCTTCCAGGTGAATCATACCACACTTAAACTTCTTTAGATAAAACTCAAAAGTTCAAGTCTATTGGTCACCCTCACAAAAGCTTTGAACTCTTTTGAGATAAAGATGTCAATCACCTCTTAGATTAGTTGGGGCCCCTTTCATATAACCTTGAAGTCCACGTTACAGAAATACCCTCTTAGACACGGGGAGAGAGAGAACCACAACATGTGTATTTCCCCGAGGACAATGCGAGATGAGTAGGAGGAGAGAGGGAAGTATGGAAAGGGAAGAAGAAAATATTTTCTCAGTCTGGACTGGCTTGCAGTAGCAGAAATAAATTTGAAAGAAGAACATGTTGTGTGTGTGTGTGTGTGTGTGTGTGTGTGTTTACCCTGCTGAATTGTTACCATACAGAAGACTGCACAAAGTCATCCTGGTTGTCCGGGTCTCTGTCTTTTCAAGACCATGTGAGATCAAGGTGTTTGAATATAAGCCAAGCGTCACCAGCTTTGGGCAGGTTTAAGGTCCTTTTCACTGTTGAGCTGTAAGGGAGGGAAGGGCTGGAAACACCAGCTTGCTGCTGTCCCTTCTCTGCCAAGGAAAGGGGCCATGCTTAACCCTCAACGTCTGAATGTTCTAAGAAAGAGCACCTGGTTATTGAGAACAGCACTGAGACTCATGCTCCAGATGAATTCAATCCAGATGAATTCAATCCAGGGTGCTAAGGAGGCCTGTGGGTGACAGGGGTCACTAAATTCAGGTGGGATCCCTTGAGGAGTGAGAGGGCCAGGGGACTCAGTGAGGGGTGGGGGGTGATTGGAAATGTATTTTGGGTTGGAAGCAGGCATCACAAACTCTAGTGCCTGCCCTGGGCAAGGGATGTGTCCGGATGGTGCAGGCCAGGAGTCAGATGAAGGGAATGAGAGGAACTGAGGTCCAGTGGAGAAAGCACGGCCCTCCTCAAGGTGGTGAGATTAAAAATAAAATTAAGTCAGTGGAGACAAACAAAACATGTCTGTGGTTGTAACTTTGTGGATTCAGTAGCTATAAACAAGGAGGATGAGGTGAGGGAGGCACTTATCTTAGGTGCAAAATTTAGTGAAGGGACCAACATTCAGTGGAAGAAATACTATTGTAATGAAATCATAAAAAATGAAAATAAAAGTGCCAAAAAACTTACACTAAACAAAATCTCAAAAATTTAAATAATGACCAGTGCCATATCAAGCCATATTGAAGACCAAGGAAAAGGAAAAATTCGTATCCTAGATTTTTAATGGAAACAATTATAATAAAGTAATGTTTTCAAAATCTGTGTTTGCTTGCTCATTCTCAGTGGAGAGAATAGCCATGTTTGATAATTTCTCTGTAACCAATGATGATCTTAAACCATTTTAAACTAGTTTAAGATGAAGTGAAATTATAATAAGTTCTGTTTTGGTATAAATGAATTATATAAACTGAAAAGAATGTTCAGTTTTAATATGTCTACTTTTCAACTTTTCAGTACTTTTTAAAACTACTGAAATGTTCTAGGAAAAAACAAACAATGCATAAAAACACACATATATATGGGGGGCACGTTTTTCTTCCTGTCTCAGGTTCAAATCGGCTGAATGTGGTGCTGAGCTTTGGGACCTTAACATCCCCCTTCTGACCTCTGATGGATGAGCTGCTGGGCCTCATTTTTCAGGGAATGTACAGAATATGTTAAACATGTAGCAAAGGGACTTGACAGGTTTTGTTCTCCTTTTCAATAAAGTTGACAGTAATATACTTAAGAAAATACCTAAGAGGAAGTGATATAAAAAAATCAATCTTTATATGAAGAAATTACTTGTATTTAATTAGGTGTCATAATGTATTTTCATTATTTTTTTCCTCTTCACCCATTAAATGTTGGCATTGAAATTTTGACTAAGTTAAGGATCTAATATTGACTTTACTATCAGGATGGATAACTGGAGTTGAAAATGAATGACAAAATAATAAAAATTGCTGAAGCCTTGTGATGGATACTTATAATGGGTATTATTACAAAATTATTCCTATTATTGTTAAGATTTTAAATCTCCATGGTAATTTTAAAATAAGCAATTTAAGATTTTTTTGTGAAAATAAAAATCTTCACCTCCCACCTCGCCTCCTCTGTGACAGCCTCTTCTGAAGGGAGGAGGTGAGGTTTGGCCGCCCCGTGGGTACTGGGTGACTCCCTTCCACAAGCCCCTGCTGAGTGTTCAGGAGGGGGCACGAACGGACTGAACTGGGCAGGTGAGGTGCTGCCTCCCACCTGGGACTTTGAATTACAGAACACTGAGGGCCCCAGACAGGCAGCTTTGCACCCCGCACTCCCAGGTGCAAGGTGACAGACACAGAGTTGGAGGCAGAGAATGTCGTGGGAATGCACAGGCAGCATGGAGTCATGAGAGAGCAGAAGCTAAGCGATGAGCATGAGGTCAGCTCACCGAGGAGACGGGACCTGGGTGGCATCGGAGATGGAGGAAGCGAGAGCAGCGAACGTCCATCCCTGGTTCCCCTAAAGTCTGGCTGCTCTGCCCGCACTTCATGATGTGAGACTGGCCCATAACCTCATGGTAAAAACCCTTTTACCAGAAGTCTGAACAGCTTTGTAGTCCCTACCCAGACCTGGGTGACAAGTAATCTAAAACGGTCACACGGATTTGGGTCTGTTGATGGCCTGTGGCACCTGAATCAGGCGAGTGAATAGTTAAGAGATTTCGTGCATGTAAATGAAGTAAAGTAAATCTAGGTTCTCAAAGGCCTGGCATGCAACTCCGTTCTTTAATTAACACTTGAAGTACTTTCAGCACCCAGAGGTTTTGCAGTATCTTAAGTGATACCTGACCATTGATGATTTTAAATAAATACCTAGAAGGAAGAAACTTTTAGCACATAATTCATGGATAAAAGGTCTGTACATATATGTGTTTTTAAGCTAAAAGAAACCTAAACATTTATTGGCACATTAATAGGGTTCTAAACAGGAAGACAGTTTCTTTCTCCTTCCCCTGCCTGGTGGGACACGGACAAAGCAGTAGGTTACACAAGACGGCCCGGGCAAAGGGGTCAGGGGCTCAGCAGGACACCTGCGCAGAGAGATTGGAAAGTGTAATGGATCACCCGGCAGTCTGAGGACTGGGCGGTCGCAGCAACTGCAGACTTTTGTCTCTCTGGCTGAAGAGGTCTCTTTGTTGTCTCTGGAGAAAACTCAGGTGGCTGTCTGTGGCTGTCAGGACCCTGTCCTGAAGGGGGTGCTATCTGAATGGAAAGAGATGCTGTGTGTTTCTCTGGGGCTGGGTTAGGGGTCGGGGAGCAAGGCCTTTTGAGGAATGATGGTTCGGCAACAGATTTGGAAAACGGTGGGGTCGAGAAGGGGACGCTGCTTCCTAGGTCCTGGTTATGGATTAGTTTCAGTGTAGAGACTTTCCGAGTTTGAGAATCTTGCGTGTAGGCCTCCTGTAGGAGTGGGGTGCTCATGTCAGTACTGGGTGGGGGACCTGTGCTGGAAGCTGGTGGGAGCAGATTAGTGATTTTCTGTGTATACGACACAGTGGTGTTAGATTCTTCAGAATATACGATTGTCTGGCTGGCGTCTTCTTCATTAGAATACATAGTTCTCTGAGGAGGTTTTTTATTAGTAAAGTGCTCAGTAGAAGAGGGGACTCGTGTGTTAGTTACTAATTGGTCTAAAGTGTCACCCTTTGTGGGACTGGTTATCAAGGGGCTACCCAAGCTCTCTTTTCTGGGTGGTGGGAGGGGTGCCTGCATTGCCAAAAGCATTGGAGAGAGAAATGGCGTTGAAGGAAAAACAGAGAGAAAGTCAAAGTTAGTCATTAAGGAAACCAGTGGTAACTCTATCCTTAAAGCGAGTAAAGCAAAGTCATACCTTCTTATATGCTGTACATTTCGTCAGCTAGATTGATCTGTTTTATTCCATTTAGAATATGTTTTATTTTATTATCAAGAGCTGCCCTCTAGGGGAAGACAGTTTTTATAGAGAATACATTATAAAGTTTGTCTCAATCTCTATCCTGGGGAATTATGTTAAAAGTGAACGTATGTTTTCTTGCATACTTTTAGGCTTTGAATTATATATCTATAATTTATATATATATATATCTATAATATATAACTTCATTACATTGTATTGATAGCACTTTTCATGTTGCAATACAATTTGGCTCATATCCCCAACACAGCGAACCATTGCATCTCTCATATTTATTAAGTATATAAGGTGTTGCTGACCTCAGAATGTGAAGTCTACAGCATATGCTTGAAAACTTTTTAAGAATCAGAAGATCCCCCAAACATTATGTTGGAAACTAACCTGCTTTTATGAGCTGAATCAGGAAAAACAGAGAACCTGTTTTGAACTTAAGACTTGCCTTCCATGTTATCAAGATAAGTCTGACAAGCAATGCAGACACAAAAGCAAAAACGTATTCAAGTGAAATGTGTATCGAAATATGCACGTTACTAGAAAAGAGACAGGAATGTCGCATAACATGCTAGACAGGAGTGTGTGAGAATACCTGAGTTGGCGATCTTTTTTCCTGTAGGTTGGGTCGAACGCTTCTAAAGCCTTTTGCTGCAAGAGAGGAACATGGAGCATCTCTGTTCAGTGTCTCTCGATTTTGAGCATTGTAAGATCTCCAAGCTTTTATCAGGGGGACACAAATTGGATACAAAAATATCTGCATTCACGTTTAACATTGTTGGAAATAAAAATAAATATGACGTTTTCTTTAGAAATGTAATTTAATTTAGTATGCACAACAGTAAATGCAATTGAACTTTACTGTGAAGTTAACAATGTGGTTATGAATATGCTTAAAAACAAAGCTCACAACAAATAGAATGGTTATTCAGAATAGCTTGTTTTTTTGTACCTGAGTCTGGCGACTGAGAATCACGCCCTAAAAAGAAAAAGAAATGTTGAAATTAATATGCGGGTAAAGGAAATGAACACTCAAGTGGAGATCACTTGCCAAAGAACTACATGCATTTTTTGGCAACATTATCTCAGTTCTAAAATTCTGGGTACATAAAACATGCCAATGAGAAGGTTGTACATTTATTTTTTACTTCAGTTAGATTATTATTCATTATGTAACTATACTATATAATTAACATATATATCAAACACTGATTTTCCCCCAATGTTATTGTAACCACATAACTTTAACTTATTATTGCCCAAGCTGAATGTATGCATTTCTAAGCATCAAATCAGAGCATCCGAAGATATCTGGTCTCTATACAAGTGTTTCTTGCAGCACTAAATCAGACCTTAGTTTTGGGTGCCCTGGTGTTACCATACTCAGCTCCTGTGTTAGACAGCAATCCATTTTTTTATTATTGTCTGCATTTTGTTTTAATTTGAAGAAAGTGTAAATGTGTCTACCCTACTATGTAATATTCGAAAGCATTCTGTAGACTTCAAGTTGTTTTCTTATTGCCGTTGAAAGTCCTTTTATATGCAGATGTGAAATAGCTGTTAATGATCCATTCCATTGTCCTGTAGCAAGCTCTGGAAAACACATTTCAGTCCTAAGAAGTTGCTTTTGACAATGCAGTTAGAAAGCTCCAGGACACGTTTACTATCAGTTTTACTGGACTTACACTTTCAAGGATCTTCTATCACTTATGCACATTTGAGGTAATCGATTTATATTGCTTGGCTCTATTACACCATTATGGCCAATTTCAGCCAGAATCATAAAGCCTTGATTTTGAAAAGGACTTCATGGGTTATTCGGACTAACCTTTGTCCTGGTCCTGGATTTCTTCTAGGTGTTCCTGAGACCATCATTAAATTGCCACTATTTCAGTGAATGTTACATGAACTTGTGAAAAGGACTCTTTGTGTTCTTTTCAGTGCTTAAGGAATGGTCATTTTGAAGTCTAAACACATGAATTTCCCATGATAAAAATTAGTTGAGAAGTGGAAGAATTTGAATTTAGATCAAAGATTTCATGTAGATTCTTCCCAAATCAGAGGAAGAAAAATAAATGTGAATCAGCCTAGAGTGCATCAGAATGATTCTGCCTCAAATGAGTTAGAGAATAGCAACATATCTTCATTTTTTATGATAATTGCTAACTTAGTGTGGATTGCAACTCCAGTGAATTCAAAATCCGAGGAATGAAACGGACACCGTAAAGTGAAAACCACCTTGAAGAGTCATATGGAAATGTTGACTAGACTCTACTTCTAGGATTTGGTGGGAGCAGAGGTGACTGAATTCTCAGTCACTTCAGTGGTGATGACTGTGGGGAAAGTGCTGTGTGGCACACAGGACAGTACCTGGGACTCGCTGTGGGGCATCAGGGAGGGAGATTTCCTAACCTCCAAGTTACCACGTACAAGTTTTGGGACTTGGGGAAATGGCAATGAGAAGAGAAGCAGCATGAATAAGCATGATTATTATTTGTACTATAATTATTTGCATGAGAATAGGGATTTTGTTTTACTCTGGTTTGATAAAACTGCACTCTCACAATGAAGGGTGTTTGGTATGTACTAGGGGTGGAGGTTACAGGACCCTGAGGCTTGGGGGTACGAGAGGCACAGTTGTGGTGAGGAGGAGGAGGGCATATTTGAGAAGATTTGAAGGACACTTTGAAACAAGCTTCCTCCCATGGATAGTTTGTGGGGGCTGGTTCTTCTTCTCACTGGTGATCATACTAAAGTTCTGGGAAGCCTGAGTGGGATAAGCATTAAGTGTGGGAATCAGCGGTCAGTCACTCTAAGCTCAACAGGGGGCTTCTGCCCTCCTGCCCCACTGGGCCCGGGGGCTTCCAAATGAAGCTGTACCTCTGTTATGGGAAATGTGAGGTGTTAATCATGGTGAGCCCTACCGAAAAGTCCTGCTTAGTGTCGTAGACATGAATGTGCAGGATCACCAGAAAGGAGAAAGGAATAAAAGTGGCCAAGGATGAGAACTTCAGGATGAACCCGTATTTTAATGAAGTTTGTGTGGGTGATCGAAGTCCACACCCAGGAGGTGGTCTCTGCCAGACACTCAAGGGTCCAAATTGCATTTTTCTTTTAAGAGAAATCCAGTGATACTATTTGAAACGCTCAGTTTTTTAGAGGCTGGAAGATACATCCCTTCTGCATGGATACCGTTGACCTCAGCCCGGCTGGCCCTTCTTCCCTGCCAGGAAAGCTCAGGGGAGGGTGGGTGGGTGTGGTGAGCAGCAGGGACAGCCCGGACCCGTGCCAAGTGAAGAGAATATGGGTTTGACAAAAGTACTGAGAAGGTAAATGACTTGGCAGGCACATGGGGAAAGTGGTTTTGTCCAGTATCTTGAATATTATTTATGATCCTTCGTTGTGGAAACACAGCGAGAATTCTAGCGATCAGAGCCCACCCTACATTTCTAGTGTTCTTCAGCAGACAGTTGTTGCTTGCCCCGACATCTCAGAATGGGTAAATGGGGCAGATGTATCGTTCCCTGGCTTTTATTTTGCATGTGAATATGAATATGGTCTTTGGGGATTAGGAACTATCACCTCTTCTTGCTGGTAAAGGACACACCCCCTGTGTCTAGCCAGAAGAGCGGTGTGGACCCCTGTCAGAGGGGCTGTCCAGGCTCATTTGGGTTGGGGGCTGGACTGGAGACCCTCAGAAGTCCTTTCTGACTGTATGATTCCAATGTCTGAATTCCTTTGAACTGATGTGCTCTCTCAGACATTGTAAACTGTGCTTGAAATTTATGATGATTTTCATTCTTATAGCTCCTTCCTTTAGAGCAGGGGTGTCCACCCTTTTGGCATGTCCAGGCCACACTGGAAGAAGAAGAGTTGTCTTGGGCCACACAGTAAATAGACTGTGACAGGTAATCACAAAAAAATCTCATAGTGTTTTAAGTGAATTTATGATTTTGTGTTGGGCCGCATTCACCGCTATCCTGGGCAGTGTGGGGCCTGTGGGCCGAAGGCTGGACACCCCTGCTTTAGGGGGTTTAATTACTTTGTAAGAGTTAATTTAAACAGATTAATTAAATTCAAGCCAACTAACTGAATGCCTCCAGTGTTTCTAAGTACTGTGGTAAGCCTTTTTATTTATTTTGTTCACTTACCCTCAATTTAATTTTGTCAACTCTTTAGGAGTCTAGGAAGCAACTAAGTTCTCAGAGAGGGAGGAATATGACAACTTCTATTTTTTGGGAAAGGAAACTTGAGTTACAGGCAGACGAATTCCCCTAAGGGCGTGACGTGTGCGGGTGACATTTCCTGGTCCAGCGGCCTGGTCACCGCAGCATGCCAGCCGGATCAGAGTGTCACACTGCCAGGTGGTTTTGGTAAGAAAAAACGTACTTCAGAAAGGCTTACTGTATCTCTGTACTTGTTGTTTTGGCTCTAGCTTAGATTTAGAACATCAGGGTGTGTACGGATTACCCAGTGGGACTGCTTCTTGTGAGAGGAAAGAGGAAGACTGGTTTAGGGGACAAAGAGTTGATGACTAGCGGCTTATATGGACTTTCCACCTGAGAGGCGAGAGAGGGAACCCTAAAACCTGTGGTGCTAGTCCTTCACCTAAGGGCTCTGCTGCGTTAGCATTATCTAATGCAGTAAATATTTATCAGTCCCTGTCTTATAAAGAATACCAAGTAATGTGAAGGGCATAAAAAGAGGGCGATTCTTTCTTCAAAATGTAGTGAAAATGTTAAAAGGAATCATACCTATGTGTCTTAATACAAAGGAGATCTATTTTTAATGTAACAGTGGAGCCCAAAATTCAGATGACTTCACTCTCCAGAATCTCATTCCTAATGATATAAAAGTTGAAATGGTCCATAGCCACTCCATACTTATTACTGAAGATGATTTCTTATTCCTAAAGTACCAAATGTTTTCTGTTGTTCTGATTCTGAAGCATTAAGTGTTTCACATTTAGTGACATGAAACTGCTGATGTTCCAGTGTTGGCTCTGCAAGATGGCTATCTCGAATCCAATCACTGTTATTGTGGTTCCGTTCATAAATAAGAGTTTGGCGTTGTTGAATCGGTGCCACATTCCCCAGCGGGTGTGTCGGCCAGCGGTCCACGTCTGGGCGGCGTGGGCTACAATTTTACTTGGTTGAAATGTCAGTGATATTCTTGGTACAGACATTTTGATAATCTGATGGCTCTGGACTTTATTTATTTTCTCATTTCCCTCATGTATTCCATGTAAACACATTTGTAGTTTCTCTAACATTGTTTCATCCTCATATACACATGAGCAAATATGTACAAATATATATATATATATAAAGATTTTTAAACCAAACTGAAATCGTACTACATACATTGCAATGAAGCTAGTATTTTGAAAAAACTTTGGGAACCACCTGGCCTGGCATTAAACTTGGACATTGAAATCCACTCGTGGATTGGAGGTGGTGGGCAGCAGTGGAAGCTTGTTTTTCCACAACACAGCTGGGTAGTTTAGGATCGAGGGCCTTGAAAACCAAGGACGCCCTGGGCATTTAACTAACTACTAAATGTACGTGTGTGAAAGACAGTGACATGCACAGTGAGAATTACAATTATTTAAACCCTCTCTGTGCCTTTTCCACTTTTGCTCCCAAACTCCACAAATAGAAATGAAAACAAGGAACCAGGCAAATAATCAATTGACAGTCAAACCAATCAGTCAGTCACCAAAAGGGGTAGGTGTGTTTCTGGGTCTAGAGTCCCTGGGACCGCCAGGCTCACTTTGACCTTCCACAGCAGCTTTCCCTCTCGGAGGGACTGTGTGTACAAGCACAGGTAAGTTCCGGCAGACATTATTATAGAGATACCCACCTGAGTGGATGCTGAAATAGCACATTCCTGCTTACTTCCCAGAGTATATTTCTACCTACGGTTGCATGTTAATCTTAATCATGCCAACATGTTAAAAAATCTGTACTAGAAGGATCTTTGCTGACTGGGTTAAAGAAAGGCTTAAGGTCTCTTTCAAAACAAATAATCTACCATTCTGCTTGCAGCCTTCGGTGAATTAATAAACACAATTTCCTACAAATCCCTCTTTCTGATGCCCTAGGTCCCTACCCCTCAACAGTTTTTAGCTTAAAAAACATCAAAAGCACCTATGAGTTATCTTGATTAAATGTTAGGTAACCTTAGTTCATAAGAGACAAAAACTGAAATAGTTATTAACACTTGCAGTTACTCAACACATTTTGGCAAGTGATGGGTGTTTTTAATTAGATTTTAAAAATGTTTTCTACAAGATATCAGTTTCCTTTAGTTTTTTTTTTATTTTTAGAACAAACACAGAAGGGATAGGAGCTATTCTTGAGACAAGAAAAATAAGAACTTGTTGAGACATTAACAAGGTATTTAGAGTCACTTTCTTCATCCAAACAAGATAATTCTGGAAGGAGAGAAAGGTCAGATAAAGCCATTCAAGTGTGACATTCGGTGAGTTAGTGATATTCTACCTGCAGCCAACAGGTTTGGAGAACTTTGAACTCTCTTCACAGATGTTAATGTAACAGACATGGCAGCACGTTTGCGAGCACACCCACCGCTATCTGGAAGCAAAAAAAATGACATAGCAGAGGCCGCAGCAAAGGACAAAGCACATGCAACATCATGCATTTCAAGTGGAATGTGCCAGATGCCCATGAGAAACATGAACGGTCAGAGTTAGCAACCATGGAATCCAATGCAAATCTTACAACCGCCCGGACCAGAGCAAACAAAATCAAACCAAAGCAAAAAGCAGCGGTCTGTTTTAGAAATAAATGCCAATGTCTTAGTTAAAAAAAAATCAGATTTACTTAACATTTTATGCTTTTTCTTTAATGAAACACAAGTATAAAACTCAACTTTGTTTATACCATTTAAATTCAACTATTAAATTTATGAGCAGTGTAACTAGCTTTTAGAGTCATGGAGAACCTCTACCTCAGAGTTGAGAGCCATAGTATAATATACTTTTATATCCATCATTTAGGTTTACTGTATTTTAGCTATTACGATTTCTGAAGATAGTTTTTAAGTACCTCTTGAAGTAAATGTTATTAAATGATATAAGCATAATATAGTTGATATACACGATTCATAAAGAAACAGAATTTTGGAAATTGTATGTCTTCCCACATTGTTATTAGTTGTGGAAATAATTAGCCTAATTGAAATCAAAGATAATATTCATATATATATTTATACAGTATTGAAATGATCATTTAAAAATTAATTTGTTTATACTTTTCAACATGTAGTATAAACATGTATGCAAATCACAGCATGAAGCAAAGTATATTTACATGTATGCAAATCATAGCATGAAGCAAAGTAAGTAAAAATGTACCAACTATTATAATGTGATATAGGCTTAGAGTTACAAGACTTTTACAATTGGAAGGTTGATGTTCTATTTATGAACAGATTCCAATTCCATTCCCACATTCCTTTGTATATGGAATGTGCAATAAATAGTTTTTCTTATTCTCCTGGGGCCAAAATAAACTATAATTTAATTCTTTTTGAAAGTTGTAACAAGAAAGCCAAATAATGTAACCATCAATATGATAAATAATCATTATATATTGCCACATGCTGTTTTAATTTTTCTTTTTCTTTATTTTTTAAAAATATATTTATATTTTTTAATTACAGTTGACATAAACATATTAGTTTTATGAGTATAACATAGCGATTAGATATTTATACTTTTCTTTATTTCTTAAGGAATAGTATCCACTTTGTTATTGGACATGAGGGAACTTAGGAGTACTTAGAAGTATGATTCAGTTAATTTGTGATAAAATCACAAGTAGTAAGGTCAGTAGACCTTAAAATTGGTAGAACGGTTCTCATGTCAAAATAGAATTTCTTAAACATGTTTAAAATAATAATTTTCTAACACAGATAATAATTAAAACAGAAAAATGACTTGCAACAACAAGAGAGAGTAAGTCAAATCAAGACTATAATTCAAGACCAGACACAGAAAGACACAGAATGGTGGAAACATACAACTAAAAAGTCTTTAAGAGAGGCACCAATAGGATGTAGCAAGCTCTGCCAATGGAAGAAAGCTACGAGCAATGAGTGTTTCTGATCGAATGGGGGTAATGTCACTATCGACTCTGCAGTGTGCGGCAGCCACGATGGTCTCTGCAATGGTTGTGCAGTCAAGGGTGTTGAAAGTGTAAACTGAAGGCTCTGGACGAGATTTTATTTTTCAGTTCTGTTTGATTCTGAGCATCCAACAAGCAGTCGGATAGATGGAAAGGGAGGATTTCAGGGTGAGGAGGTCAGGGTCACTGGTGAAACCCATGGCTCCCCAACTGTGTTCAAATGCCCCAGGCAACCCCAGTTGATTCCTGAGGGTTTTGAACGGTATTTTACATTTTTGAGAAAAACTCAGTGATGTCTATCAGGTATTGCATGAACTGCTAGCCTGAGGTGGTTCCCAGTTTCAACATAGTAAAGACTGTGCTATCTTTCTTTAGATGATTCCATATCTTGGAGAGGTTGGGTTTTTGGTGATGGTTGTGACAAAAGGCGGTACACCACAGAAGTCGTTTTGGACCAGTACATGAGAGTGGTCATGGGTAATCTAACCCCAAGGGCTGCGGCACTCTGCAGTGCTCAATAAGCACACACATTCCGCTAATAACTATGGTCATAAAGAATAAAATAAAAATGGTTATTTTTTCAACTTAAGTATGTTATTTTTCCAGATTGCTTCTGAGTTGACAGAATGTAAGTACTTATTAAGTTGTTTGCACCTAGCCACTTGGTAAATGCTACTGTTAGATAGTTCTTTTGGCTCGAGGGTGCAGGACACATGGCTGAGACATCTTGGCGTTGTCATCCAAGAGCGTGTGGGGGCCCCTGGGTGAAATCATTTCTGCATTTTAAGTAACTCTGAGACCTGGGCTAAATAAATGGAGGGTCTGTCTTCATTAACAGTTTCATAAAGAGCTTAATTTGACAAGTTGAGGCACTTGTGAAATTTCTGGAACAGAGAAGTCTATTATATTCTGTTTTTACTTACATGCGTGTGTTGATACTTGCTGTGATTTCCCGAAGACAGTTTTAAGACCTCAGAATGAGGATGCTGTCCTGCATACTTTAGGTCATTCTGAATGATCCTAATGCCACTCTCACCTCACACTATTGGTGACCAGCAGGGCTATGGTCATGGATGACTTGCACCCTCTTCCTCCCAAGACTCTTGGAAGCTGCTTCCATGGACAAAAACACGCATGTGGGCCCATCACCTACAATAAATTATTTCATGTCTTTCTCTCTTTATGTTCTTCTACAGCTAAGATTTGCTAAGATTAGAGAATAATGGTCCACAAATTCTTCGAGTGGAAATATGCCATGTTTTATATATATACAGGGTCTGGCAGAAGTAATGCCCAATGAGTGTGGCTGACAGTTTGATAATATGGGTGTAATAGTTTATAGTTTCAAATTGAACATTTCACCTAAAATATTATGTGGTATGCTTGAGTGTGATATTGTTATGTCATGGAATTACATGCTTATGATTTTGTAATTAAAAATGGTATTATTTGTGCTGGGCCCTGTGTTTTTATACATATCTCAAACCCTTCAGTGTGAAAAATGAATACAGTTCCTTTGGCTCATTTATTATGTATTTGACCAAAAACAAAAAGCTGCTTTGCTTTAAAATAATCTTTTTTTAAACCTTGGTTATGGACAGCATATAGATATTTAAATAGTAATATATATATCTTCAATGATTGGCAGGGAGATGATGAAGAGTAACTTTATTTGTTAGATATTTGAGTATTTACTCATTTTTACTTTGTTCTGTGTACAGCAACAACGCTTTCTACACCTTCCTACTGCAGTGTTCTCACATGTTTTTAAAAGTGGCATGTTTTTAAGCAACACTGTAGTGTTAGTTTGAAATTTTAAACTGAGGGTTCGTCACTTCTTACCAGTTTTATATGTGTAAGTTTAAATAGCATGTTTTACATGTATATGTATATGTAGGTTCACCCATATAAACAAAATAACTGTGCACATTAGCATTCTAGGTAGAGTCCCACTCATTCTTTTTAAATGAGAGGAAGCTTAGGGGGTAATGTCCAAGCTGCTATAGCAGTAACTCAGCTCAAGGACCCCAGAGACATAACAAATATATGAATTTCTATTTGCCTACTTTGCTGTTAGGGATTGAATTCTATGACTAGGGAGATTAATTATTGAATGCATTGTACATGATATGGTATAATCACATACTGTACCTCTGTTATAATAGGGTTATAATAAATAAGAAAATAAGTACTGTACAAAGTGAAGGATATTAGGAAGTTATATTTTAAGACAACTTAAGCCTGTGAGGAGATGCCTGAGAACAATTATGCAAACTCCGTGACTTCCTACGGTTACCATTAGCTGTGGAAACACAACTTCCTCGTGAGGACGGACGTTCTGCCGCTGGAGTGACTGCAGTTTCCCATGACTTACCCTAGTTCAGCTTTGGGCTGTCTATCCTGTTTACTTTCTTGAATCTCCTTTATCTAATGTTATTTCTTCTCTCATTTTCCATGTCCAGTTCCCACACCTCTGATTGTCCAAATGCCTTTACATTTCTGGTGTTATAATTTCTCTTCATTTCTGGGTCTTCCTTGTATAGTGGGACTGTCTCCAGTATCCTATCTTACCTGTTGCTCTGTGCATCTATGGTGGACTACGTCCTTAGGGGCCAGGTGGCCTAGAGTCCAGAGGTCAGTCAGAGCAGGTTTCTGCTGAGAGTAGCCACAGAATCATGGGCAGTGGGGCACGGGGCTACACCTGGTCTAGGGATCAGATACTGGTTCTCACCAGTGGCTGCTAATCCTCCCATGAGGCCCTTTGACAACAAGACACAGCAAACTTTTTAGTGATTTCTTATAGATAGGAAACACAGAGTAAAGAGGTATCCATGTTGTTAAACTAACTGAAGATACTGTTCTCACATCTCGAAATGTTAATGCTTATGACTTCGGGTGTAGTGTGCCTATGGATTAAGTTGATTTCATAGGAATCATTAAGTTGATTTCATAGGAATCTTTGGCAGTAGCTGCTGACTGTCAACCTAAAGAGTTGATAGACTGGAAAACTAAATATTTTCTGCTAGAGCAACTTGCCTCTGAATTTAGCCGACTCTAAGAGGGATTTCAAATGTATGCATGCACGTGACATACTCCCTCTTCCTAGGGTATGTGGGAATAAATTTCATGATGTGACTCACAGAAAAAGGGAGTAAGAGTAGATAAAGCCATAAATTCTACTTCCGATTTCTAAAAGGTCAAAGCACAAAGACAAAGAATTGAGTAACGAATTTTCACTATCCATCCAATCAGAAACTCAGTATTACAGTTAGGGTCAGCAGAGGGCTAAACTAATGATTTAGGGCAAAGATGACTTTTAGAGAGCAAGGCTGGAAAGTTGAAAACTAACAGAGAGGGCATACCTGTATTCATTCTGACCTTGGAGGGTTTGTTATTAAAGTCTTCAGTTTTCCTGTAGGGAAAAAATGATGTGTTAATTTGTTCACTAGCACGTGGCACAAAATAGCATGGAAGTAGGGTTGGTTTTTGTTCTGCTTTTGGTGTACCTGTGAGTTAACATCACGTTATCATTAGTCTTGTTTAAATCAGAATCTAATAAGTTGAGCAGAATTTATAATTCCGTTGAAGTTAAACTTCAGTTATTATTGGTCCTATGATCATAACCATGAACTTCAGTTTTTATTTAATGGTGACCTTTAATGGCTGAAAATGGAGAGATGTTCTCATTTTAAAAAATTCAGTTTCTTTTATAAACATTTATACTAACAGGTTTTGTTTTTTAAGCCTGAAAAGAACATTAGTTGTTAAGTGTGGCTTTTCAGAAATTGAAAATATACCTAGGAAATCATTACCATACATTATTCAATCTATTATATTCAATTTATTACTGGCTTAATTTATTACCAGGGCATATTTAATATATTTTTTATATATTTTGAACAAATAGTCAAGGAAGGTAAGATTCATCTATTTTGAAGATGCAGGAAATAAAGGGTCGCTGTAAAATCCATTTCTGTTTCAGTATCAAATACTGTGGTTTTCCCCAACAAAGTGTTCGATGTATAACAGTTGAGATTAATTCACGAGAAATGGTTGGCAGAATGGTGCTTGTTGTGAAAAATGGTGTATTATTTTATGATGTGTGAGATGACATACTTCCTTCTCTGGCACACTGTCTTAGCCCGTTTTCAGAGTTTCTGATGTATCCAACTCTGAGACCAAAGAGAAGGACATGCTCTCATAGGAAGCAAATCTTGCAAAAGCATGAGCTCTCTGAGATGTTTAACCCCAGCCACTTGCCTTTGCTCCTGGGTAGGGCCTACGGTAAGATGGATAGGAACTTGCCCAATAGCACGCTGAGTCTGAATGTGCATGAGCTCTCTAACATCTAGTAATCTATAAAATTGTTTAAACTTTATGGACGAGTGGGGATAACATTGAAATGAAATCACCTGTCATGATTTGTCAAGAAAGACTTCCGATAAATGTTTTTCTTTAGTCTGTGTAAAGAGCACCAAGTGAGCTTCCTGTTTTTTGTTTTTGTTTTTATATCCGGCTGCCTGGGTTCTTGTCCTCTCCATTGTTCAGAATGTTTCTCCTGTCTTCATGCGTCTGGTCTATTCATCATTCCTCATTTTCTTTCAATATGGCCATTGAAGTTCACCTCTGATAGAAAGCTTGGTTTTGTTCAAGACTACTGTGAAATTCAAATAATTTAATTGAAATATGAACACCTACATATAATCTTTTCTTCCACCTTGGAAGATAGGAAGAACCTATCTTTTCTTCCACCTTGGGGAGAGCGGGAAATGGTGAAATAGAATAACATGAAAAAAATATTCTTAATGATATGAGATATAATTCTTTTTTTATGAGATATAATTCTGAATGAAGAGGAAAAGGATTTTATCTTTTATGACTAGATTGAATTAACTAATACCTTGGTACTCAAGAAATACGAGGGCAATGAACATACAGAATGACTAAAATCATAGTGTTGATATTCATCCCCATTTGTTTTTTAGAGTTACAAACTGAGAACGCTGCAGGTGATATTCTTGTTTCATAGCGTTTTGGTATCACCTGACTGTGTTCAGTATCCTATTGGACACTGAGCATCTAGTACTGTGATGTTACAGCAGACTTTACAAGAAAATTTCATAGGCCAACTGGCTTCAAAATATGATTGGGGGAAACTTTATCATGACAAATTTTATCCCTTATCTTAGAGTGCATACAAATAAATAGGCGCATCCCCCCTCCCACATTTTATTTCCAGAACACACAGAAAAATAGGACATGTTGCTAAGAAACTCTGCTTGGTAGCCCTCCTACCACCTATATCAAAGAGATGCCAATGAAGCCAGGGAGAAAGGCAGTGGTCCACGCAGGAGCCTTGAGAAAGCTCCGTCAAACTATTTATTTTAATCTCTCAGTAGCAAAACTCCTAATATGTTAACCTTAAATGGACAAAACAAATGGAAAGGAAAAACCTCAGGGGATGCCTGTGACCAAGGCGGAGGCCACGGCTAAAACAAGAAGGCATAAACATTCTCCCGAAACTGAGGGCTGGAAGGCCATTCCCCAAATTCTACTCATTACCCTTTTTCAGGACACTCCATGTTTGAAACTTGTTTAAGGTTTAAAACTGAATGACAGAGAGAATGGGCTGGAACACTACTGACTGAGAAAAATATCAAACATGCTTCGAAGGTGAGGCTCTCAGGGTACAAAATCTACTCGCAAAAAAATGATAGTGCTTTTATAACCAAGTTAGAGAACTAATCATCAACATTTGTTGTTTGAATTCACTGCACATATTTACCAAATGTCCCACACTCAAAAAGTGAAATAGGATTAGCCGGGACAAAGACCGGCGCCACAAATCCTTTAGCTTTCATCTTTAGAGCGATGGATCCTGTTACTTATAAATATAATTTGTGAGGTTTTTGGACTTCACGTTGTTGTAGATGTAAAAATGTGAAATGACTAACTTCCTAATCAGACAAGACATTTTCCAAGTTGTTGAAAGAAGAGCCGTGGTAACTGAGCCCTGCAGAAGAACCTGAAACCAAAAAGCTTCTTGGGTGACTAATAAAAATGCATGATTCTATTTCCCATTATTTGTACTAAAGCCATTAACAAATCCACAGCTGAGAACTCTCTTGAGACAATTTAAACTGAAGCGAGTCTAATCTCTTTTGTTCTGTTCTGAAAAAGTGCCTTTGAGTATACTTATATAACAAGCCCAGATTATTCTGGAAAGCATCAAATTCCTAGAGTGTTTCCATGCTACCAGAAGAGACAGTATTTCAATTATGTCCTTAAATTGGAATTGAACCAGGGCCAAGACTGCGAAAACTGACGATAAAACAATGCAGACTACCTTGGACCTCAGCAGATAAACCCTGAACAAGAACTCTGCATTGGTGTCAAAATAACTGTCAACAGGGAGTGTGGAGCTGCGTTTACTTAAATTCAGCTCTCGCCTGAGTTTTATACAGAAGGAAACTTTGTAGGTGTCCCAATTTGTGTGTGGCAGCAGATTGGCTTCTCGTTTGGGTCAGAGCAGCACCATTCCTGACATGCCTATGGCCGAAGGTTGTGTTGGTTGATCACGGATGGGAACCAACATCAGTTTGTGTCCGCAGTCTTTTAGTTCTGCTGGAGTTTCTTTCCGTTAGCAGACACCCCATTTTCTATGGATCGGGGCAGCCTGTGATTCTCAACATGTATTTGGCAGTGGACTGGCTAATTGAACTTCTGAATGAGGGCCCTAAGAAGGCGTTTGATTGTTCTTGCCTAGGCACCGACGTGACTTGGTGCCCATAATCTTGTCATTCTGCTCGAACTCTTTTGATTTTCAGGCAGCTCCTTCTGCAGGGGCGCAGAGGCAAATCCTTTCCTCAGTTTCAGCCAAGAACTCTGCGTGTCGTTTTATTTTTGTAGACTTGAATTTAGAAGCACCAAGGCTATCTAAAAATCTATAGGACTAAGTTTCAGCCTGGTTCATGTGAGAAGTTGCCCAAGAGGTTTTTCATGGAATAATTTTAATCCAATAATGGCTAGGGCTATTTTGAAATCAACCTATTCATAGCTCATACATTGTTCAGAATAAGAGACGTACCATCTAAATGGTAAGAAAACATTGAGGGATGTATGATTTTTCAGAGATATATGTTAAACACAAGAAGTAAAAAATGATGCATATTAAGGTTATGCACCAGATTGAACCTGAGTTTACTTAAAATGGGGTCATGTGAACCACTGTTTCTGGACAAACTACCCTGAATGGACAATACATTTCTCTTTCTCTCTCTCTTTCTGACTATAGTAGGATTAGAAGTACTCATAAGTGCCCAGTGATTTCATTTTTTAATTATAGTCACATGACTTAGTTTAGGTTGATGACTTTTATTTTTATTTATCTTTTTATTACTATGTCAAAATTGCTGCTTTGAAATATGCACAGAAATACACCCAGCAGTTTATTTTGTCCTTTACAGTCCCTGAGTTTGGAAGCCTAAGAACCCACCTCATCCCCTGCCGTGAATGGTTACTCTTAATTTACAGCCAGTGTATGATGCCAACTCTGAGATGCCTCCACCCTGACTGGGGCTTACCAGTCACAGCCAACAGTGGGGGCCTCACCATGAGAACTCCAAATTCCCCCACATGCCTGAACTTGTGGGGCTGGAGGTGGGGCCTTAGTATTCAGGAGCTAAATGATCCCCAGCCTTTATGCGTGGATGCTGGGGTCTGAACGTATTTCGCATCATTTGAAGATGATAAATAGGGAAGACCCAAAGCACACGAGGCCATTGGTTATTTTCACAAGAATATATGAAGTATTCTTTTTAAAAATACCAAATTTCCCAGTGCCTGAAAAAAGTTTCCTGAAGAAGAGCATATGTTTTTCCAGGAAACTAGCAATTTTCCTTTTGAGTCGCTAGAAATGCAAGCTCATGAAAGTACAGATTTTCCATAAAGATTATACTGGTTAGAAGTAAGTGGCCATCACCTGGTAGGTAAATTTCTTTCTGACGCTGTTCCAAAGCCCCCGAGTCTGTGAATCACTCTCTTATTTAACTGTATTTAAATCACTAATCACTAATCACTCTCTTCTTTAACTAAGGAAGTCAGCATGAAAAAACACTGACTTCCTTACACATTAAATGGTCTTGAGATTTCATGTTGCTGTAGTACTTTACTTTGGTACCCTTCATTTTTATATTGTCATACTTAAGGATGACTATAGGTTACATCTAAATATGTACAAACACACCTTTTCAAAGACAGGGTCTTTTGTGTCACTTGATACTACAGTACTAGAAAAAATCCACTGACTTCTATTACGTATATCAAAACCCCAATGAATTCCTAATGAAAATAAATCAGACACCTAATGGAGGTCTGGGGGGGCAGGCACATTATCAGATACGTGTGAGGAGT